GTGGAACTTTCTGTTTTCCCGCTCCTCAGGGACTTTCCCTTTCCTGTAGCCGCTGACAGTAAGACCGGGATTTAATTCCTTCACACCCATTCAGGGAAAAGAGTCAGAGTCACATTTATATTCAACAAATGGTTGTGTCTGAGAGATAGTGTCCTTGGTCTTGTCACTTTTTTAGGGATTTCACTGTTTTGATGAGATAAAAAAAAAAAAGGCCAAAAGGAAACTGATTTCTCAAAACAGTGAGACTGAGAAACATGACGAATGCTGCTGAATCACAGCAGGATCCTCAGAGGGCTGGAGATGGGGACAAGATGTGGAGACATGAGGAAATTTTTATAAAATATTAAAGCTCCTCCAGTCTAAAGGTCTGTGTCCACGTGTAGTGTGATTATAGATTATAGATCAGGTCTAGCTTCTATATTAATACTGTGAAAGTATCAAAGCCTCAGTCCACAGAGAAATGCACACAGCCTGTATTCAGAAACTGAGCCTTAAAACCAGCCGTCAGGACTTCTGGAACTTTGTGATGTCACAACAAAGCAGTCACCATGCCCCGCCCACCTGGACCCACAATCCAAACCTTGCAGGATTTGGTTTCTCTGAGGGTTTTTACCTGAAATCTGCTATATTTTTTATCAAATCACTCAGAAAACAGTCAGCCAATCAGAAGAGAGGCACAGAGCCTCCTCTCTTCTGATTGTCTCACCGACCTGTTGTTACTAGAGCTCCAGAGAGAAGCCTGAGAGACAAGATGTAAAACTACACACTTCAACACACACTTCAAACACTTCAAATAAAACACAGAAAGGAAGAAAATATGGAGCTTTAAATATCATATTCAACCCTTTAGACCCAATGTCCACTATAAATACTAAATATTTACTGGTTTCTTCAATACAGGATAACACATGATCAGTGGACTGGTTTGGTGGGACCAAGTACCAATCTTAGATAATTCTTCATTTGAGTATTTATACTTGAGACAGTGAATTTTACTGCACTGGATTTAATATCTGACACTTAGGCAACAGTTACTGGTTACTTTGCAGATTCTGATTTTAGAGACAAATCTTATGGTCATTTCATAAATTATGATACATTATTATAGATTAAACCACCTAACATTAAATAAGGTAGTTAAACCAGTTCCACCTCCGACAACTACAACATTAAAACACTGCTTATACATTCATAATAATTAAGTAAAACACTGTAATTAGTACTTTTACTTCTGATACACTTTGCTAAGAATGTTGTACTTTTACTTTTACTTTCTTAAGTACAAATATGACTGCAAGTCCTTTTCTTGTAATAAAGTATTTTGGAATTGTGGTACACTTTCAGAAGGAAAGGATCTGATTACTTCTACAGAACATATGTGCAGCAAATTTTGAATGCCTCTGTACAGATGCTGCTTTCATTTAATCAATCATTTGAGACGGTGCATATGAAGAAACCTCAGTATATATGTGCTGGATTCAGCCATAGAACAAGTTCTGTTGTCTCTGGCCAGATGTTTCACAGGCAGCGACACTAAAACAATCTGCAACCGAGTACGTATCCAAACAAAAGTGCAACCTCCTAAAGTTGAATTTAATGTCAACTTCTCGTCCTACCTCGGCGTCCTACATGTGATCCTGTGAGGTTTAGTAAAAGTCCAGCTGCTCCCATGTGGGCTGCCGGTCAGCCCGAGTGTCTGCTGCTCTCTGCTGCTGTGTCTCTGAGCCCACCTGTCGCTTCCTCCTCAACACGGTGTCAGGAAAAAACTGAGTCACCCTGAGGCGCAGCTCTCACCCTGCCTCCAGTGTTTGTGAGCACTATTGTTTACTAGGAGCTTTCCAGTGCACCGAGCTCTGTGCGCGTGCATCTGTGAGTAGATCGGACAGCTTGTGTATGTACTTGCATGTGTGTGTGTGTGTGTGTGTGTTGGTATGTGCAGAGGCTGGTTTGGGTGTGTATAAATAGCACACTGGGGAGGGACAGAGGCTTCCAGCGCAGCTGACTCAACACATTCTAGTTTGGGTGAGTGCTCATCACGCAGAGCTACAGGGCTGCTGCTATTCAAAACATTGCAGGACTCTGTCCAACCAACACACTGCAGCGCATAACAACCAGACCTTATGACAACAGTCACAGAACTCACTCAAATTCAACTTATCGAAGGCTTTGATCGTCACCTGCAGATACTAGGAACAGCGATGCGTTCAGAAACTTCAGAGAGGACAAAATACCACCTGAAAAGATTTTAAATGGCCAATACTACAGGTTAACACTGTGCACTTAGACTCAGCACTGATCAACCTGCATCTTAGCATGAGAAACTGTCCGATTCAACTGCCATGTTTCATATATTCTCTCCTAGTTTGGAGCATGGACTCCATTAAAACTGGAAAAGACTGTCAGAGTGCAAACTACAAGCTGGGAATAAGTAATCTGTGTACAGTACTGACACATCTTGATAATAAAATCAAGTATCAAAAGCAGTTTTTTTGGCCACTTGGGAGCAGCAGAGCTAAACAACACACAATCTGGACATATTATCACCTTATTTGGTGGTTATTGCTAATGCAAGGAAAAAGTCTCATCTCACAGAGTTTCCCCTTAAACATCAAGCATCAGTCCCATGTTGTCAGTCAAGGCATTCGTACTTGTGTATGTTGTATTTTTCTCGGGTTGCCACTAGCGACTACTTTTCTAAATGTTCGTCGATTAATCTAAAAAATTTACTTTCGTCCAGGAAAATCTAAACGACACCATCAATCAGTGTAGAATAAGCCAAAACATTTGCTCAAACACTTCATTCAGTGTAACTTCTCTGGCAGCAGCAACGACTTTATGACTTTATGAGAATATTTAACAGCTACAACAACAAAAGATATTAAAAAGCTCAAACTACTAATGAACAGACACTTACACATGAAGTAATCCTTCACGTGTTTGTGACTGATGTCACTGCAACATAAAAATAAAAATCACAAAATAACACTGGTTAAACAAGACTTCTAGTGAAGGAATTGAACTGTAACAGACACTTATTGATCCTAAAGATTGATACTAAAGACTTGTTTTTCTTTTTTTTAAAAGAATAAATTCAGAACAGTTTGGGCTGGTTTGTCTCAGCCAGTTGCTCAGTTTACATCAATCTGCCACATTTAACCAAGAGAATCCATCAGACTTACCTACAGACAGCTTTCAAAAGTGCATATGTCGAATCACCAGTCAAATCTGATAAAAACAGCAAAAAAAATTGGCGATTTTGCCCCAAAATAAGGTTAAAATGTAAAATGTTTTTTCCAAAGGTTAAACTTCTACTGTGCATGCAAAGGTTTTCAGCACACCAACTGTCATAAAACTCAATTGTGTGATCAAATCAGTGCAACAATACAAATTGGCTTGACCATCCCGCTCGTCAGGTATTATTGGGTATTAACCCACAATGATATTTTTAAATAGGTCAGGTTCAAACCAGTTTGACTGGTGACAAATAGTAAGAAGAATTTGGGGCATACAAGAAACACCCAGATACACATGATGATGTAAATAGTAAAGTGTATTACTTTGCTGGGGGAAGACTCTAAAACTATAAATTCAGAATGAGTTGGAATAAAGATAAAAATGTTTTGATCCAAACCAGAAATGATCTATCCAGTTAAAGCCACTTGGATTTGAACATTTCTTTTGTTGATGACAGAAAAAAGTGTGAAGAAGGAATATTCTATAACCTGTGAATAGACACGAGGCTCGGCACATGTCTGATCAAACTGATCATTTGTCTTCCCAGAGACCAACATAGACCAACTTCATTCCTATTGATCAATCTCCGGTGTCTCTTTTCCCTCCAAAACACAACTGAAAGAACCGTTGCTACCCAGTTCACTAAACACCTAAGATGATATTGTCTATTAGGGCCCCTCAGGTTTGGTTTCAAACCATTTCATTCTACTGAAACTTGTATCAAGAAAGATGTCAATGACCTGCTGCTCACCTCAGACCTTGGCCTCTCCTCAGTTCCACTTCTGCTCGAACATGAAACACCACGTTTGACATCACTGACCACAAAATCCTGTTGAATCATCTTCAGTATAAACGCTGACATCACTGACACTGAACTGAAAAGGTTTCATGCAGATTTGCATGGCAGGACAGACAAGGTTATTTACAGCAGCTCCTCCTCTGATTGTCATATTCTCTCCCAGGGGGTTCCCCAAGGCTCCATCCTTGGCCCACTGCTTTTCCTCGCTATGTAAATTTCCATTTTACACAGATGACACCTCGATTTTCATTCCCATTCTGCCAGACTCAGACTACACTCTTAGGCTTATTCACTGTTTGACTTCCTCCCAAAACAAAATAATAGAAATTAAATTTGTTAAAATGAACTTTCAAGAAAACACATCAACAACTCATCACTACAGCAACTTTTTTTCCACCTCAGATTCCAGTCACATTTTTCATCAATTTCTAACACAGTCACAGCCACATGCAGGGAATTATAATTCCTGCATTCATCTCATCCAGATCTGTTAACACACTCTCATCTGCTCTCACACTCTTAATTTAAAACTAGAATTACCGCCACTCGGACTTAGTTCAGATTACATCCCATTTTATCCAGAGCGGTTTAAAATACTAACCATTTGTGTGAAGTGTTGTCGTAATTGCTTTGTGAAGTGGCTAAAAAAGTGTTTCATGAGGTCACCATGATCTTGACCTTTGACCTTTAGCCACCTAAATCTAATCAGTTCATCCTTGAGTCCAAGTGGACGTTTGCGCCAAATGTGAAGAAGCTCTATCAAGGTGTTACTGAGATATCGTGTCCACGAGAATGGGACGTACGTACATACAGACGATCAGAATACAAACTGCGTCTTTTTACCCACAATGCACTCCAAGATTGAACACCCTCTTACCTCTCAAGACTCCTCAGTGGGGTCAGTGATTTGAAATATTTTATGTCAAGCAAATACAAGACAAACTGCACAAACACAAACACACATTACCTGTATGAACTGTGGTGTGAGGTCAGCTGTGAGGAGCCAGTTCTCCAGTCTCGGGTATCTGGACAGAGCTGCAGGTCTCTCCCTCTCTGGTACCCTCTGCTTCCACTGCAGCTGCGTCCACATGTACTTGGTCAGCTTCACCTGTAGGGGGAGGGGCACACCACACACTGCTTCACTCTGTCTCACTCAGGTGTAATCAAAGCTTCACCAACCAGCAGAAACACTATTACAAACTCCTCCCAAGTGGAGGCAAAGTTATTGACAGTAATTACATACAATTTTTTACATAAATTTTACATCTAAGTTTCATATTGCACATATTTCAGTGTTTTATTTTATTATAAATCTTTAATCTTGGACATACCTTTAATTAAGTTTTCTCTGCCTGTGTAAGTCGTCCTAATTGCTCAGGTGTTAATTTAAAGCTCAATATGAGACACTAATTAAGGGGCGAGTTATTTCAAAACGAACCTTGACCTTCTTGCTATAGTGACCCTAAATATCAAGGAGTTGTATGGATGTAAAGCAGTAGTGAGAAATGAGACTTCAGTTTGAGGAAATCCCCCTGACTGGTGGTCCACACCAGATGTCTGCTGTTAAACCGTCTGCAAACTGTTAAAATGTGTGAAGTGACTGTTAGACCCCAACTGCTCAGAAGATAATGAATGCTGATGGACATGAGCATAACTTTAAACTTGTCATTGTAAATAAAATTTGGACAATCACAGACATTTAAGCTACAAATATTTATTTCATTTACTTTAGATGGATTAGCAGCTAAGATTAGCAGCTCTTTAATTCACAGTGAGGCGGCTTCACCTTCACTGCAGGTTTCAGATTCAGTAAAAATCTTCGCACGCAATGTGCAATGATTCCCCAGACATCTCACATAAAAAAAATAACACAACTGTTCTGTTTTTCAGCCACATTGCATCACATCTTGCAGTAACCACATGAGTTTTACAGAAACTTCATTGAAAACCTGAAGAACAAAAAACAATAATGAGACTTCGTTTCTCCCTGACCAAAGCCTCTCTTGCCCGGTCACTCAGTTTGACCGGACGGCCAATTTAAAGAAGAGTCCTCGTTCCAAACATCTTCTATTTCACAATTATTGAGGCCACTGTTCTCCTGGGAAAACTGTTCTCCTGATCTATGCCTCACTACAATTTCATCATGGAGGTCCACAGGGAGTTTTTGTTGGACTTCATGACTTGGATTTTTTGCTAACGCAGTGTGAATTGTGGGACCTCATATACACTAAGGCATTATGAAGTATTATATATTTAGTTACCTTAAGCTAATTCTATATTTTGCATGACTTTGACTCGTAACAGAGTATTACTACACTATGGTATTAATATTTTTACTTAAGTTAAAGTAGCTAGTTGCACAAGTCACCTTAAGTTTTCTTCTTAAGTAAGACACTTGAGGATGAATTTCTCCTTAGCTGAGGGAGTTACTTGAGGTTGTTGTACAGATTAACTTAAAGGACTTCCTTTGATAAGATAAAACTTTAATTTGCAGCAATGAAAGAGATTTTACAGTGGTTAAATGCTACAGTTTCCATGGAGACCGTTTGTTTTCTGGCATTAGCGCTTGTGATAGCGGTTGGAAAGATCACGTAGCATAGTGTGGTTTTTTTCCCTTCGTTTGGCTGATAAGATCTTCTGTGCAAGTGATTTAAGGAGAAAGCTTTAAATACTTAACTGAACATTTAAAGGAAACTTTAAGGAGAAGACTTAAGGGTGTTTTGTGCAGAAATTTTTTATTTTTAGGAAATCTTAAGAAGCTTTGTGCAACTGGCCCCTGAATACGTCTTCCACCCCTAAGGGATAATTCTACAGATGCACGCTGAAGAGCTCTTTCAGCAGCCTCCATGTTCAAGGTGGAGGGCGCCTCCATTATGCGCATTAAAATCTAATAATGTTATCTGTGTATTAGTATTAGTCTGTTGTCTTTGAGTGGCTTGAGGTGAGATGCAGTGGTGCTTGTAGATGAAAACAGGAGGGTGTAGGTTTGCACTGAACAACACCTGGACCCTAAACCACCACAGCGAGGAGCCTGCAGTTCTATGGCATCTGTCTCAGTGTAGATCTCCCTCAGCTCTGTTACATGATGACTGCAGCTACATCACATGTGCCGCTGGGTCGCATGTTGAGTGGAAACAGCATCACACTTGTGGCAGAGCTAAGGTCAGGTCTTTGTGGCTGAGAACAGGTTGGGAGAGCTGTTGTTCCAGGTTGTTCACACACCTGAACTCATCAAGGTGCCATCAGTATAAATGCTTACACTGAAAACAGTGTGTGTGTGGGTATTTTGACATGCAGCCATGTTAGCAGCTCTGCAACGCAAACACAGCGGTGCTTTGAGCTAAATGCTAACCTCAGCATGCTAAGATAGCAAAAATAATACTTGCCACATGCTTCCTACTTGCGGCTGTTAGCCAGTACTGGAAGATAACAGCTGGAATCTGCCCAGATGTGGAAGAATATGGGCATATCTTGGACCAGAAGTTTTATTTTGCTATCTGCTCAATAATGACAACATTAGCAAGCTCATGTTTGTCATGTTCACCAAAGTTTAGTGTGTTAGGATGCTAACGTTTGCTAATTAGCACTAAATGCTAAGTAGAGCTAAGGCTGATGGGAATGTCATAAACAGTGGTGATAAGAGTAGGGACTGTGACTTGACACTGGAGGTAATGGGAATCATAGAAAGAACCAATTAGAAAACATCACCATGGTTACCAAATAAATAATGACTTTTTGTGATCCTCTGACTTTTCATTTAGTGCCATCATCAAAATATCAAAGTCCAAGTTTTGTGCTAAGGCTAATTCTGAGCACCGTGACAGTGAAAATAACAGCAAAGAGAGGGTGTGCAAAAAATATTTGTGCAGACGAGTCAAAAACAAAAGCTACATTAAAAAAAAAAAAAAAAAGGTCAGAAAGAGGAGGACAAGAATGACACAGGAGAGACAGAGAGAGAGAGAGAGAGAGAAATGAGAGAAAACAAGAGCAGTTGGTAAACCACATGGGGCTTTCCTGACTACCATGAACACTTTGCATAGACTCACTTCTTCAGCCTCACGTAATGTAACAGGCTAATAAGGCTGCGAACACAAACCCCTGAACGCTGGATCCAACAGTCTGCTCAAAAGTTCATTTTAAACCTGACAGATCGTTTTAGTCTGATAGTTCCTCTACAGCTGCAATACACTGTGCCACACTGTGAACCATCGCAATGTGTCAGTGTAACCACCACTACAAAAACGAGTGCACAGAGCTGTGAGGAAAGCAAGTAAAGAAGCATGGAGCTGTAACATACATGAGCACAGGGTCGCTCGACTAACTGTGGCCCAAACACAAAAATACAACACCCCAAATATTCATCAAAATCTCTCAGAATATGCTTTCAATTCTGTACATGATAGCTACTTTTATGTTGAATTTACAGTTTAATACAAAAGTTTGGGCACCGCTGGGTAAATTCTATATTTTGTTTTTATTCCACATTTTTGTTTCTTCAAATGTTAACACACTGCTAATTTTATATTTCCTGAATATGCAGTCACCATACCTGGCTTGTTAGCTTAGCTCGCTAACTAGCTAACGAGCCAGCAAAGGAATTAGCCTCGGGTTAGCCTCCATCAAGACACCCAGCTGCGCTAACGATGCTAACAGGAGCACATGCTTGCCAAATTTATAAAACCGGCATGCACCGAAGTCTCTGCTCATCTTCACATACTGACTGGCTGATGGATAAACTGGAGCATTTAGTAGCTAAAGATATTTTTCTCGGGAGGTGGTGGAGACCAAAGTGGAGCTCCAAAGGAATGTTAATGCTAAGTTTTTAGTGGGTTAAAATAGTCCATTATTTAGGTTGAGCTCAGGGTAAGGTAATTAACCTGACTGAGATGACAGCTTGTACAATAAGCATGTATATATGCATGGATAGTTCCATTTTATGCATGCTTACATTTGCATGTAAATGTGTTCATATTTCAAATCTCAAACCTTTATTGTTTTTTGTTCATATATTTGCCGTTTGTGGTTTTTGTGTTTCATTGATCGGCTCCATTTTAATGAGGCAGACACTGTAGCTTAAAGAAACACTTTACAAAACTGTGGTCACAGAGGAACCTCATCATATCAAGCGGAAACTATTCTCATGTTTCCATTTTCTACTATTTTGACAAGATAACACGAATTCACAAAGATGGATGTGTGTGTGGGTCAGGCAGTTTCAAAGGTCAAGAAGAGGACAGGAAAAGGAAAAAGAGCATCGTCAAAGCTCTGAACAACAGTTCATCGTTTGTACACACCTCCCTCGCTCTTCTGTCTCTAATATTTTGCCCCAACACAGCAGCACACTCATCCCCGCCCACTGTCTTTCACGTCACTTGATGCTCTTGCTAAACTCGACATGTTCACAAAGCGTGGGAAGGAACCACAGCCAAATTCTGCTTCTTGCCACAGATATATACACAAGAGAGAGAGTGGGCAGCGACAACCATTCCTCAACTACAACACACACATATGCACGCGCACGTACACACACACGCACACACAATCACATGGAAAATTAGTCAGAAAAAGGAAACCCTCCCCATTTGACCAATCTGTGATGTCAGAGAAAACACTGCCACGAGAACTTTAGGACAAAATTAAAAATGCAAAAAACTAAAGTTTTGACACTTGATGAATGTGATGAAAACACCATCACCATGGTTCTCACTGGGTCTCACCAAGCGGGAACCTCCGAGGCTGAAAGATGACGCCAACACTGATGTGCAATAAACTGCAGTTCCTCTAATGACCACTAGAGTCTGGCTCCAACAGCGAGTCGATCCCCATGGACTCCCGTGTTAAACTTTACAGCAGAAATAAGGTAGTGACAAGATGGCGACAACGTGATTCATGTGATTCATCTTACTGCTTAGCAACTTACCTGGGATAAATGATATATAATCATAGAAATATAAGTATATTTGATGAATGTGACATTCACAGGTTGTCATTTATTTTTAATTGGCTGTCATTCTCCAAAGCGTCCCCAAGCCTCTTTCCTGGAAAACACACTTTTTTGTGTTTTTTCACACAGTTTTGAGTTGTTTTCCATAGTATGTTATGTTGACGTGACGTTCAGAAGCTGCAGAGAACTGTTTGAGTTTCAGACTGTGGGTGGACAAAGTGCAGGACTGTGACTCCAGAGTCTGGTGTTTGCACCCGGAGTCCTGTCTGTGGTTTGGTTTCAGCAGCACAGACACTTAAGGAAAGACTGAAAGTGTTTTCAATTAAATGCTAAATGTCTTCCCCAAAGCTTAACCACGTGCTGTGAGCGCACAAACATAACTATAAAAAAGAAACATTTTCCTGATACGTTCAATATGTTACTTGCCAAATCCATTAATTAACATTTCCTCATTATGTTTAAAGCTCCATATTTTCTTCTTCTGTGTTTTATTTGAAGTGTTAATCCATAAAAAGATACAAAAACCATCTCAGTGTAGTTTCACATCTCCTCTCTCAGCTTCTCTCTGGAGCTCTAGTAACAACAGGTCGGTGAGCCAATCAGAAGAGAGGAGGCTCTGAGCATGTGATGACAGTAAGATGACAAATAAATTTTATGGCTCTGATAAAACAGAAATCATCATCACAGATAATGCCTTGCTATAAAAAGCAGAAGGATAAGAAAATGAGCTTCTGTCTGTCGGTCGATCTCCTCCACTCTTACATCACAAGTAGCTTCATCACAATCAGCTGATCGGAGTGAGTTTGTGCGCACATGTTGCAATCATGGTTATATGCGGTTATATATGTGAAACTGTGGTCAGGCAAATTAAAATTAATATTAATTATATACTACAAATAAAAAGTTACTACATTAATAGGAAAACAAGTCAAATATCTCCTTGACATTTGCAAAGGCGCGAGCAATCCGCCATCGTCCTGATCATCGTCCATCAGCACAACCCTAGCTGACACAGTTCTCTCTTTACTGATGTAAAGCAACTCAGGTTAAAGCAGACACTTTGATTTAATGTCCATTACGTGTTTGATTTCTATGTCCACAGTGGCCACATGTAAGTATTTTAAGAGCTGGATTCCAAAGTGGTTCCTATTCATTCTTCTGGGTTTGCTTTTGTATTGTACATGCACACAAGTGTTTCACACAATGGCCCCCCGTTGGGATGACATCATGCACTTTAACGTCGCTTTTCTCTGCACTCTGGATGTCAAACATAGTTCATGATACAAAGACCAAGTGTTGACCTTGTCTGCAGTCTGAGGTTGTATTGTTCCTGTTTTTAATCAACCTCATGAGAACAGTGGTCAGGTTGTGTTGCAGCCAGTTTATTTTTCTTCTCCTTTTCCTCCACCTTACTAACCTCTTTACCTCAGGACACCACCCTGTGGCACCATCCTGTCCCTACAAAGGTGCTGTGTCAGCTGTTTTACAGTCACCCTTTTTTATTGGTCATTAACAGGAAAACATTTTTTTGGGCAGGAGATTTTTTTTAGTTGCAATACTGTGAGTGGCCACTGGGACAAACTGAGAGCAGCGCTGCAGACTGGCCAGGTTCATCAGAAGGTTAGTCATCTTGCTCTGAGACATTAAGGTCATTTAGATCCTCTAAATTTGAGATACAGCCAGTAGGTTTGGCAGGACTTGATTCATAAGCTGTTGTTGAGGCCATCATTGTAAATCCTGCAGGGCAGAAGGTTTTAAAGGTCCCATATAGTGTAAAGGTCTCTGTCCATGTGTAGTGTGATTATAGATCAGGTCTAGCTTCTATATTAATACTGTGAAAGTATCAAAGCCTCAGTCCACAGAGAAATGCACACAGCCTGTATTCAGAAACTGAGCCTTAAAACCAGCCGTCAGGACTTCTGGAACTTTGTGATGTCACAACAAAGCAGTCACCAAGCCCCGCCCACCTGGACCCACCATCCAAACCTTTGAATGATCTGGTTTCTCTGAGTGTTTTTACCTGAAATCTGCTATATTTTTATTGCATCACTTAGAAAACAGTGAGCCAATCAGAAGAGAGGCTCAGAGCCTCCTCTCTTCTGATTGGCTCACCGACCTGTTGTTACTAGAGCTCCAGAGAGAAGCCTGAGAGAGGAGATGCAAAACTACACTGAGATGGTTTTTGGTTCTTAAAAACCACAAAAATATCTTCTTATGGATCAACACTTCAAAATAAAACACTGGAGAAGTGTGAAATATGGAGCTTTAAAGTTTAAAGAGTTCTGGTGAATTACATGAAAATATATCAGGCGTCGACAGGCCTGTATCACAGCATCATGGGAAAAGCCCCACAATAACAATGGCTGTGATCTATTCAAGAGTCCCAGTGAGCCATGACAGTGTGACAGCAACCCGAAACTGAAGCTAAATGGAGTTCAGCCATCACCATCATTAGTCTTATCATTTGTATCTGTGCTTTTCCTACTGTGACGAGTCAAAACTTTAAGACATTAAGACACAGTAAAATATCAGAGAAACTCACTGCTTAATTCAGAACGAGATTTTTAGCAACAGAAAATCAAAACATTAAATATGACCATGGAAGAAAATCCTTCAGAGGCAGAACAGTGAAGGTTTCTGATGAGGTCTCACAATCTGGCAGGATTGGTTTCTAATATAATGGAAAGGGGGTAGGGGGTGGGGGGGGGGGTCTGGTCTCTAACAACTAAGGAGCTGGAAAGTTTTCCACACTCTTCTTGGAGGCTCGAGCTCCAGCTGCTGTCGCCGTACCTCTAAAGTGCGGATCTCCTGCTGGGTGAGGTCGTTGGTTGCGGTGCATCTGGTCCTGAGAGCCTGGAGGCTGGAGGTGGAGATGTCCACCAGGTTCTGGATGAGCCGGCACTGACGCAGAGCCTCCTCAGCTCCCCCCGGTCGTGTCCTGCCGCCGCGGACCCCCCTGTCTCCTCTGCCCGCTCCTCTGTCCATTAGTTCCACATTGGCGCCGCTTGTGTCACAAACGGCGACCTGAAGACGCGTCGCACGCCAGCGCTTCCTCTACACGACGCATCGTTTGAAAAACACGTTTCCGCGTTTGAGCTCTGAAGACACAGCAAGACTCCTCCAGCAAGTCACCTGAAGTTAGACACAAGTTCACAACCACTTCCTGTTGTCACCTTCAAATTAAACCAAGACTTGAGTAAATATAGATGAAAGAAGTCGATTATCCCATAGAAACGTAATGAAAATATGTCCCTATATCAGCAGTGATTGTCATATATGTCAACTATAATGGAATAAATTATCACCACACATATACATCCTATTGATATTATATTAAAACATATATTTAGGATGAATTTTAATATGGTATATGGTATGATAAACTTAATTGGTGAAATGGTTAAGTTTATTAAAACTACATAGCTACATATAAAAAAAATCTATGTTTTTCCCATTACTTTCTCATTAATTTTAATTTCTTATCTTCCCATTCTGGGAAAGCTCTCTCAGACTTTTGGACCCTACTGTTCATAACATCAACATATAGTGACAGACTTTGGGATGGATATATATTTACATATGTCTACAATATAAGCATACACACATAAACCTGCATATTTGAATGGGCTATACATATATTTCTCATCAGGTTTCATATAAAATAAGAATACATATGTGCTTTTATTTTATGTATATATATTACAGAATAATAATAACAGCAAAAAAATAATAAAAAATCAATATACAAAAAATGATGAAGATCAAAAAATGGAAAAACTGAGATACAAGGTGATGAATAATAAAGAGAGAGTGCGACCAGTCATGAATATAAAAGACTGGAGAATAAGATTTTTATTAATGTTTCATTTTTCATTTTACAACATAAAAATTGTCTTTAACAAGCACGTGCATGCTTTAGAGCAGCGGTTCTCAAAGCAGAACCCCTTGGGGACCCTTGAGGGAGTTCCTGTGGATTCACTATAATTCCATCCATAAGTAACACAGTGACAGGATGTGTGAATATTTTGTGTTTCAAACATTTTCTGGAATGAAACATCTAATTTCCGTCAGTTCCTTGATGTGAAAAAGTTTGAGAACCAGTGTTGAAGAAGAAAGAGTTCACCTCGCCTCCTTCTCTGAGATAAAAGAGAAAACACTGCCCCCTTCTGGCAGAGCTCCGTCAATGCAGAATCACATTTCCACACAGAGAGAGGGAGTGTCCTTCAACCGGTGCACCAGCCTTCAAACCCGCTCACTGCTGAAGTGCCCATAGGCTCTACAGTCCTGTGAACCTCAACCATCTGCTGTTATGTAACTGAACCTGACTTCCTGTTTCTGTGGAGGGAGAGGAAGGAGACAGTGAAGTGGACGTCTGAGTCATGAGGTCAGATGAGTCATGTTGCTGTTGAGTAGATGAAGGGTCAACTGGTATCATTGTACCTCCCCAAAGGTTATCACTGTTCACTACTAATGAATCCTCCAGTGTCAGGGGATGTTAAAGTTTTATTTAACATCAGTAGCACAAATTAAACTTGGTCAGAGAGCGTTCAGAAACTCTGCACTGATTTTTTTTCCCAGGAAACTGAAATAGCTGCTTTGATTTAATCACAGTGGGATTTTTTTATTTTATTTTTAACTTGTTTACAACGGTTTTAGCTTTTCTACAAGACTTACCGAACCTGGCAGAGAAAGCGCCGAAATAACATTTAGACCATAATCAGTTCTCAGAAAACTCAGTTAAACAGTAAATGTCAGTTTTAGATGGGTGTGGTTCTACTGTGGAAAGTTAAAAGAGTAAACACATCTTTATTATGTAAACCAAAAAATAATTAGTCTTCAAACTCAATTTTAAATCAGGTTCCTGCCACAAGATGGCGCCAAAAAAGAAGAAAAAAAAAAAAGGGAAAACTGCAGGATACAGTGGGGAACCTTAAACATTAACTATTATATGTGAAAAACATCTTAACTCAGGATGTTTATTATTACAGATTAACATCAGGTCCAGTCACGTGGATCAGGAGCCACAGGTCAATGACCTGTGAATGTAGGTTTTTATTTTTTTACGCCACATCCAAAACAACTTCAGCTCTGACACAGTGACTTTATTCTTGTTTCCGTGAATATATTTTAAATGACGGGAAGGGTGGATTATGAGTGCGGGTGCAGGTTTGTAGTTAATTCATTACTTTTGTTAGATTGATAGATAACTGAACTAAACCTGGGGGAGCTCTCTCTGTCTGTGGACACCTTCACAAAGCAACTCAACACTCACCTGTCTAGACTTGGCTCTTTATTTATTGTTATTACCTCTTGCAACAATGCGGCTGATATTGTTTTCACCTTTGTGAGTCGGTGAGACACCTACTTACTTAGAGTCCCAAACAAATCTCACAAAAAACACTGGATCCTACATTTCCCACAGAAAAATGTGTAGATTTACATCAACATGTGTGTTAGCTGAACAGATCCAATCAAACCAGATGATAACATAACTAATATAAATATGATTAATTCACATGAGAAAACACTGTTATCAGTTTATCCCTGATCAAACACCTGGTGACATATTTACCCTGCATTTGCTCCAGATAACTCTGGAACTCTGGACTCTGCATGGCACACACACACACACACACACACACACACACACATACATTTCCTCTAACTTTAACGCTCTGTATTGTGACGAGGTGAAACTCTCGTCGTGTTTAGCTGCCACACGTGAAGCAGTTTTCCTCTGTCTCTCAGCTCCGGCAGGCAGCTGTGTGTGTTTTAGGACTTTGTGAGTCAGTGTGTGAGCTTGTGTTAAAGTTGCTGTGGTTGCCAGGGAGAAACCAAGGCTGTCTGAAATGTCTCTGAGATTGAAAAGGATTCAGTGTTCAGCCTGACACGTAATGCATTCCTCCACCGTGCTTCATCTCCATTACATCAGCTGCCCTCTGATCCATTTGGATAAATGCTGTTAATGGTTTTCCATAATATGTTGCATTGTGATACATTCTTCTTCTCAAATAAATAATGTGTTATTAAAAATTAAAGGGAGAAGACTCAACAATAAAAACTGGACTGGACAGTAAATGAAGCCTGCAGTTTTTTTCTCTGCCTGCTGACTGCTCCACCCTTCTGTCCCTGAGAGCCCATAACACAGCGATAACTCACTTCCTCTGTTTGTTCAAATCTCTCTCTCACTGAGTCTCAGATCCTCATGAAGCCACATGATGATCACAGAGACATGATGGAAATTATATTGGATCAATTCACTCAAGTGGATAAATATTACAATAAATGTCTTGCAGCGGCACATCAGACCCATCTGAGGTCAACGCTGCTGGTTCTCTAATAACTGAAAGACAAAAGTAGAGTCATGAAAATTACAGTGGCACTGACAATTAAAACGTCCAACTGATGATAGCTCCCCATTATCTCTTAGCTACAGAAGCCCTGAAAGGCAAGTGAATTCATTTTTTAATTATTTTAAAGAAATCTTTCATCTTTAAACATAAAAAAATCCTTTTTTTTTTCTTCCTAGAATAGAAAATCACTTGCTTCTTGATGGTTGTTTATACAAATGAAAAAAATGAAGAAAAAAAATTGTTTTTTTCATATGTCAAAACAACCCCGAGGAGGCAAGTGGCAATTCTTTTTTTTACATTTTTTACATTTTTTAAAATCATTTAAAAAAGAAATTTCAATTAAAAAAATAAAAGATAAAATAAATAAATATATATAATTATTATATTATATTATATTATATTATATTATATTATTTATTTATCTATTTAAATTTTTACAAATTCTTCCCAGAAAAACAAAATCACTTGCCTCTTGGTTGTTCGAAAAAAAAAACTTGGAAAAATGATCCTGTCTTTCGATACTTCTGCCTTTTCTTTGTCAGAATAACATTAGTTGTCTCTGTAAATGCTGTAGATGCAGAACTTCAGTAACATCAGTGATTCATCATTAACAGACCGTCCGTCACACAGACAGACAGACAGCAACCCAGGTTAGCCTCCCTGCTAACATCTAACTTACAAACATAAACACACATCTCAGCGTCCTGCACCTCAGCTGGTTGAAGACAAACCAGGGAGAGGTGCATCAATAACGTCAGTTTTCAGGCTGCACAGCTAATCAGCTGATTATTTAGATGGCTGTGAATCCATACCACTGCTTACAACACAGTCTGCTCATGACCTATAAGCTACAGGTTTCTTTACTTTGGCACCGACACACACTCTGACACACACACCACGACAAGCATACCACGACACGCACACCACGACACACACGCCACAACACACCCCCTAACACACCCCTCCAGCTGCTGAAAGGGTATAAATATACAGGAGTCTTGTGTAATCAACAAAGTGCTGCACAAATTGCACTTTATAGGACAGAACAGGGCAGGGGGTGAGTGGAGGTGGGCAGGTGTAAATACTAAGAGGTGATTAGGCCTCAGGGGGGGCGGGGAGGGGAGGAGCCTGGTGGCTGAGAGGCGGGAAATATCTGTGGCATTAGTAACATGACAAAGGCATGATGAGAATGAGAGAACGAATGAACTGTGACACATGGATGATTCAATGTATGGGATTGTGCAATAATAATAATAGTAATAATAATAACTAGAACATTCCTGAAGAAATTTTGAATGTGCAGTAAACAGTAAAAAAAATGCCCTGAGTTAATAAGTCAAATTAGCCAATCAGCAAGCCTGATTTCTTTTTTGTATTAGCAGCCCGTGAAATTAACTTTTAATAAATAGATATGAGTTTGTTAAATGTTCAGTCTTCTGCAGATTAAAGGTTCTTTCTACTCAAACAGCAGCGTTGCTGTTCGATCTGTCATCAGCTGTGGGAACTCAGTCGCTCTGCCTCAGTGTGTGTCCTCCTCCCTCATGTTCAGCTGTAGGTATCAACAGTCCAAGTCAATAATAAACCGGACCACAGCCCATGTGTGTGTGTGTGTGTGTGTGTGTGTGTGTGTGTTTTAGCTGCTGGTAAATTTCCATTCAGCTGATAGGAGGACCTCTGAGGGCGATAAAGTATTTTTCCTCTCTCCCGCTGTCCGACAGATAGATCGAGTTTTACAGTGTTTGTCTAATACTCAGATAAGACTGGGAAGGCCAAGAGGTGAGGAGAAAAACTTACATAATGAAAGGTTAAAGTTAAATCAATACAGTGTTAATACAGTGATACAGTATAAAACATTACATATGAGAATGTGTTATTTTAAAGACAGTATTTCAAACTTCAGCAAACATGCCCACAGTCAAGACAAGTTATTATAGCAATATTTTATATATTAAAACAGTCAAATCATTATTGTTAAAATGATGAACTCTGTACTTTTTGCGGTGCCCATTAGAAAATATTACTGATTATATAATACAGTGACTGGGGAGCTCACTTCCTCTCCTGCCTGCAGGCCGGTCTTGGCCCTGGTCTGGACCAGAGTGGCGGCCTGACAGACTTTTTTCAACAGCTAATTATCGAATTCTGTTAAACAATGTTGATGAACAGCTTAAAAGTGTGTTGTAATCAGCCAGCACACAAAACTTGTTTTCATGCATACCAACAATGGAGGCGATGAAAACCATACGGCAACGCCTGCTGCACGCCAACACCCTGCACAAAGAACCAACCTTAACCCCAGGACAGGTGAGCGAACCGCTGGACCGATAAGGAGATATGGCGTTGTGTGAGGTCACGTTGACCTTGACCTTTGACCGCCAAAATCTAATCAGTTCATCCTTGAGTCCAAGTGAATGTTTGTGCCAAATTTGAGGAAGTTCTGTCGAGGTGCTACTGAGATATCGTGTCCGTGAGAATGTGACGGACAGACGGCCCGAAAACAATAGAAAAATATCATTTTTTCATAAGCAAAATGTTTTATTTTGCATTTATTTATGTATTTATTTATTCAAATTTATGACATTTTTTTTTGTCCTTCATAGTCAATTTTGGGTTTTCGTTAGCTTTGTTTAGCATTAAATTATAGCTGGTGTCCATTTCGTGTTATTAGGTTTGGTGGAGCCTCTACATGTTCCCTCGTGTCGTTGTGCTCGGCCCGTTTGTTCAGGTAACACCTGGTTTAGTCGCTGTCTTGAGTATAGTTGTGTTTTGCTGACCGCTTTTAAAGGCCGACTTCTTATAATCTTCACTTCCTGTGTTCCTGTTGCCTCACTGCTCCCGAACACAGACTTTGACTTTTGTCTTAAGTTTGAATATTTAATGTCATGGAGAAATTCTGAAGATTTGAAACCAAACACTGTTATTTAGTCAAAAAGCCTTTATTGAAACTACATACACACACGTACATACACACCGAAAAAAAAAAAAAACTGCAGGAACTACATACATTCATATATATATCTGATATATTTACCGCTTCATACTGCATCTCACTGAGGCAGGACTGTGTTTTTCCACAATGGCTGCAGGTTTACAAAGTCATGTAATGCAAAAAAAAAAAAAAAAAAAAGGCTCTGTATTGATAACTAATCACTGCAGACCATTCATGATGAGAACAACCAGACCATTTATATACACGATCTGAAAAGGAAAACCTTTGGCATTAGCACTGACTGTCAGAGAACTTATTGCCAAGAATGATTGACAGCTGCTCTGCACCCATCTTCCTACGGAAACACACAGAGGACAAAACTAAGTGCTCACTTTCCCTTCTTCACATCTCCTCTCACTGACGCACAAACTGAAAACAATCGACTGCGTCTTAAAAAAAAAAAGAAAAAAGAAAAGCCATTGTGAATTATCATGTGCATATATTTCTATCAGGAGTTCAGTGAACATGAGGGACAGGACATGGCCGCCGATCGCTGGCAGCTCACTGGCTGGTTGCTAATGAATACTTTGAGGGTTGCTGGAATTTTCTAAATACAGCAAAAGACTATGTGACCGGGCGCTGCCACTGTGTAAATCTGACCTGTACAGAAATGTAATTCACCTCCACGGGCTGTAGCAGTAAGTTGTGTAATCATGTAGAAGTTTTCACATTTAGAGGAAAACAAAAATATCAACATACAAAAATACAAATGTTCAACAGAAAAACTGGATATAAATGACAAAACAATGTGAAAAAAAAAAAATTAAAACTTTGATAGGTTTATGAACATGATACAATTTTGTATATACATACATATCACATGGAATTTCGTATACAGGGTTTTTCTTTTTACAAGTTCAACTATATATAGCAGTTTAAGCGGCAGAGGTGCTTTACTTTAGTGTGAAATCATCAAACGACACTGATCTCAAGGCTTTATACTGCCCCGCAGGACAGGTCACGCACATGTACATGCACTCACCCACACACACACACACCCACCCACACACACACACACACACACACACACACACACACACACACACACACACAGAAGTAAATTCAAGCATACTGTTGCCATTTATGTCGCCGGTCTGAGACATTTGTAGGGTGGACTGTGGCTGGGTTACACCTGCATCATGTCAGGGTTGGACCGAGGCTGAAACTCTGACGTCAACCAGTTTTATTATTTTAAGCTTCGCTGTGGAGTTTTCTTGTAAACAAACATGTTTGAATTCACACACACACACACAGAAGTAAATTCAAGCATACTGTTGCCATTTATGTCGCCGGTCTGAGACATTTGTAGGGTGGACTGTGGCTGGGTTACACCTGCATCATGTCAGGGTTGGACCGAGGCTGAAACTCTGACGTCAACCAGTTTTATTATTTTAAGCTTCGCTGTGGAGTTTTCTTGTAAACAAACATGTTTGAATTCAGTGTTTCTCACCGCAACACACGGTGTGAATCCACGAGACTGCCTCCGTTGGTGCATTATCAACACTAGTACAGTAGTCAAAATGAATGTAGATATCTTTTATCAGCTTTCACTGGTAAACTAAATTAAATAAACAGATAATCTAACGTAGAACCAGACCCTTACAGAATTTTTGAGGCCATAATAACTTTTGAGAGTTTTTAAAAATCCAATAAATTATACAATTTTTTTTTTTATTGTGACTTAGAAACATACTGGGCGGGGCATTTGAAAAATAAACGTTACAGCTCTCTGGTTGACAAACTATACGGTGGTGACATTTTAAAGGAGCTATTTATAAGTTTGTTGGCGAAGGTCGCCTTCGTTGAGTTTACGATACAAGAAGTTATGATACCTCCTCAGAGCAGCGCTACGTCTTCAGGGAAGACTGGACGCTACAGTGACTCGGTATCGGAAAGTGACCGGGGCTAGCTGGTTAGCATGCTAACTTCAGAGTTAACATTGGCGTAGCTTTCCACCTCTGGAGACAGATCTTGGTGAGTAAAGGAATGAAGTTTGATGTTAAACTCTTAACCTTTCTTCTAGACTGGTAAGTAAACCGCCGTTAATGCTAATGTTAGCAATGTAGCCATGTAGCATTATCAAAACTTACAGTTATGTAAGTTTTGCTTACATAACTGTAAGCAAAACTTACTAACTTAAAAGGTAGTTTTGTAAACTAACTTTAAGAAATGTCTTTTGCATTTCCTTACCTCAGTTTAGCATTAGCATTATCATTAGCAACTAGCTAATGTCAACTGATGTATTGATGTGACCTTAATAGTGAAATGTTTTTTTGTTATTGTACTCGGTAATGTTGTGCTTAACGGTTAGTGGTGAAACTCTGTTTCTGGTGTGACCAAACAGCAGAAATGAAATGAGTCAAGGTCACATACTGTATGGATCATTTCAGGGCTGATACATTGGAAATAAAAACTACTGATTACCCACATAAAAGAAGTCTGGGTTTCAGTGATAAGTGCCATGATGGTGTTAATACTGTTTCAGACAAATATTCAAAATCTTTGAGAGGACGGTAACGGCTTGATTTTTGTTTTTCTTTTATGTCGTGACAATAATGTACAAATTCCACAGTATAATATATAGTCCACAGTATCAGCAGTTCACAGATCGGAGGATTGGCCTTCAAAAACTCCGCGTCCGTTACACACCCCACGTCTCTTCCCTTAGGCTCACCCACTTGCAAACCTGACATTAAGAGCAAACACCACTGCAAAGCTTCTTACATCAAGTGCAACAGCCGTTTCAGGTCAGAGGGAAAGACGAAGCGTTTACTGAACCTGGTAGAGAGAGGGGGAGCCAGCCGGACGAGGAGCTGAGCAGTTACAGGTACCACACTGATATGATGGAGGGGGACAGGAGGCTCCAGAAGTACTTTAACCTTACAGGTATGGATGGAGCAACGGCCCCAGCACATTCGATTTATTCAAAATCACTTACAAAAATAAATATGTATGATAAAACATAATATCCTGCTCTAGGTGGATTTGGTGGTGGTGGTGGGGGGTTTGAGATGTGGACGTGTCTCTGGGGATTCAGTGAAATTTTAAATTCTTTTCCTCCTGTCCCGATCACATCCATTTATCCATCACAGTTGTATGAAAAAGTGTTTTCCAAAATACCTTTCAGAAAATAAGGGACTCATTGGTTTTTCAGCATACTGCTGCTGTGGCATGTGCAGCTGGGGGTGGTGGGTGGGTAGCTGAGGTGGTTTTTAGATGACTTTGTATGTCAGGTAGTCGCGGAGCGGCGTTGGAATGGCCAGAGCCTCTACCTGCTGGGTGGTCATGACCCGGCGGAGAGCCATCCTGCTCATGTGCTGCAGACTGGCAACGCTACGAGGACACTCCCAGAAGTGCACGCTACCATCACGAGTCCTACAGCAAACAGAAAGTCATTAGACTCTTTCATTATGAGCGCACGGTAAAGAACATATATGGTCGGCTGATGGTGACAGCGCGCCGAGATGAAACACGAAGAACTGGTTTCCGTGGCTCCTCTGTCAGGAGGCAGGAGTCAATAAGGTGTGACTGAGGTGATGTAATGTGAGGTGTGTGTTCAGGATGGAGTGTGTCTGAACATGTGTTCAGTGTCTTACCCAGCAGCAAGGACACTTCCCTCAGCAGAGAAGGCACAACAGAGGCCATTAGAGAGAGGGGCGATGGCCTGAGGGGCCCTTTCCTCGATGCTCCAGAAACGAACCAGCCTGAGAACAGACGCAAAACTGGAGTTACCACCTGCGCCAACCAGTCAACTTACAGTTTACATCCATGTCTGTCCAGACTCATAATATATATGTAGTGAGTGTGAGTGTGAGTGTGTGTGTGTGTGGTTTTAGGGTTAGTTCATCTCAGCCTGAGCTTTGCATGGTCTGACACAATAACTCACCTTGGAGACAAACTGGTGCATTAAGTTTAAAAGAGAGAGGTTTTACTGGGCAGAGGGAGTCTAATAAAAAGATGTCATTGGTTGCATCAATGGAAAATGTAGAATCCAGTCCAGTGTTGTCTCTTCTACATTAATGACTGCCCCTTTAACAAGCCTGAAAATCTAAATCTCTTTGTATTTTTTGTTCATTAAAACATAAAATACAAACATCTTGAGGAAAAACAACCTGATGATTGATGATGCAGCTACTCCTACTGTGTGCTCAGGGTGGAGCGAACCAACACCAAGACGCAACCACAAGAGTTAAAAATATTTAAACTTGAGCGAAAAATTTACTTAAGAAAAAAAAAAACTGCTTCATAAACAAACAGAGACGAGAGGAAAAAGGAGACTGGGAGGGAAATAACAGAAACAACTGGAGTTTCTGGTGAGTTACGAGATCAGTCATAACACAGAAACACAGAAACACACCCACAGACATGGCTGATGTAAACACTGCAGGCTAACTTACTGTTTGTACTGTACATCGTCTGTTTGGGGTGAATGAACATGGACTGTAAAGGTCCAGAGGTCAAATTCACACGAGTGACTGAACTGAAAATGTGTTTTTTTTTTTGCTTTCTGACTCTACACCACTTTAGAGTTCTCACAGTGGGCAGAACAAAAATATATATCTTTTCCAGGAGGTGCACTAACAGAACAACCACAGGGTGATTCAAGAGTGTCTACCTTAGGTAAACTGCAGACCTTTGGGGTGAGCGGGACACCAAAGGATCCATTTATGTTTTATTGTTATTTTGTTGGTTTATCTACATCTACCGGAGACTTTATGGGGTTGGAAGTAATAAAAGTTAAACATTGAGGTTAAGGTCTCAAGGTCAATAAGTGTTAGTTACATCCTCCAGAGCAACATACTGTATAAGCAATTCAAGTTTTGTCATTCAGTGAGAGACTTGTTGTACCCTGCACCAGATGTGTCAAACTGAAGTGGTGACTCGTTGGTCTGATTGTGTATTTTTTTTCATCTTTCGGTCATGAGAAATCATCTTTTCAGAAACATTTGAAGATTAATTTGGAAAGCAGTTAATAAATCTTTCTATAGCTGCAACAAAAAGTCACTTTTGTAATCATTTCCATACTTCTACTGTCTGATTTTACAGTCCCTACATTGAATACATTACTGGTGAAAACTTCATGACTGACGGTGTTTTCCCTGAAACTCTCCCAGCCTTCAGTGGGAGAGCTGCGTTGTTGTTTTGTTCCTCCACAGCCACCATTTTGTGGCGCTTCCTCCTGCTTCTTTTCTCTGCATATTTTCTAGCAGCAGCTCAGCGCTCAGGCAGCAGTCAGAGTGATTAATAGCTACCCTGTGACAGTCATGTGACCCAACATACAGTAGCTCTGTGCTCTGAAGACCCATTAAGACTCATGACTCCCTGCGAGGTTTTAAAAAACAAACTGCCGCAAACAGTGAAGCTTTTCTGCTGCACTCTGCTGTTTACATATCAGCCCATGTGCACTAATAGGCATTAGGAAAAAAACAGCTTTAGTAAACAAACATCCACTGAAGGGACACGGCTGAACACGAGTCTGTCAGGACTCATTCTGAAATCACTGTTCGTTCAGGACTTAAACGCTTTGATATGTTAGTTTATGTTAGTTTATCTACTGCTGAGACATGTTTATGCTGATATAAATGACCTTGTAGAACAGACACCATGAGGCACACAACAGTCATCAAATTCAGACATCAGCAAATGATACTGGTTTTTGAGGTGTCATAGTGACATGTTCATTTTCCTCAAGAAAAACGAGGCAAGTTAAGAAAAGACATGTAACCAATTAAGGAAATGACTTTAACTCTGATGTCATTAGGTGTCTTACCTGTCATCAGTGATGCTGGCAATGTGGCGGCCGTCAGGGCAGAAGCTCACAGAGCGAACCCAGCGGTCATTTGCCCCTCCAGCAAAAATGGGTGAAGGAGGAGGGAAGAGATGTCTGGAGAAAGACGAGAGCAGGAGTTCAGTAACAGCGTCTTATTCATTAAATGAACATTCACTGTTTGTAAAAGACAGAAAATTGTTATTGTGGGGCTCTTCCCATGATGCTGTGATACCGGCCTGTCGACACCTTTCAAAGATGTATTTTCATGTAAACCAACAGAACTCTTTAAACTTTAAAGCTTCATATTTTCCTCTTCTTCTGTTTTATTTGAAGTGTTTGATCCATAAGAAGATATTTTTGTGGTTTTAAGAACCAAAAAACATCTCAATGTAGTTTCACATCTCCTCTTTCAGGCTTCTCTCTGGAGCTCTAGTAACAACAGGTCTGTGAGCCAATCAGAAGAGAGGAGGCTCTGAGCCTCTTTCCTGATTGGCTGACTGTTTTCTGAGTGATGCAATAAAAATATAGCAGATTTCAGGTAAAAACCAAATCCTGCAATTTTGTATGGTGGGTCCAGGTGGGCGGGGCTTGGTGACTGCTTTGTTGTGACATCACAAAGTTCCAGAAGTCCTGACGGCTGGTTTTAAGGCTCAGTTTCTGAATACAGGCTGTGTGCATTTCTCTGTGGACTGAGGCTTTGATACTTTCACAGTATTAATACAGAAGCTAGACCTGATCTATAATCACACTACACATGGACAGAGACCTTTACACTGGAGGAGCTTTATATTAATCTGTATTACTTTTTGGTCTGGCATGAACAGTAGCTAATGTTAGCAAAGACAGAGATCTACAGTATATATTGCTATACAGAGTCACTTCATGGACGTTGATGTGTTCATGTGCTGCTGTTACACTATGACTGAGCTTTTTACCAATATCTTGTAAGTTACATAAGTCCCTTTTACGGATCATACTGGACAGAAATACCCATAAATATAATCAATACTTGAGCATAAAAGTTTTCTTGACCTTGAGTAAAGACATTTTTTGCAGAAATACAATACTTGTTTTAAGTGGAAATCGTTGAGAGACTCCATCTTTATCTGTGTGGTTATGCATTTCTTTACCCCAGTTCCAGCAGGATGGTGGCCTTGTGGTGGTCCCATACAATGACCCTGGTGTCGTAAGAGGCAGTGGCCAACAGTGCCCCATCCGGTGAAAACTCACAGGACACCACGTCATTGTGGTGCCCCTCCAGCTTCCGGATCAACGTGTACTTATCCATGTTCCATAGAAACACCTGCAACGTGAAGAGAGCACGGTTATAGCCCATGGAATGATTCAGATAGAGTAAAGATGTGCTAGTTTACACTTACAATTACTATATGCACAAGTTAAGTATTTAGACATTAAATTAAGCAACAGGAATTAAAACAGAATTTAACAAATATGCTCAAGTTATGCTCAGTGTCATTGTAAAGCTTTGTAACATTAAACCAGGCCAAACAAACAAAAGAGCACATGCTACACAAGCAGCAAGGCTACGTCAAAATGCAACACTTCACCTACATTGACAATTATAATTAATATTCCAACATTTGTATAGAATAGTATTAAACTACATCATAATTTAATTTTTAATGTGTTATTAAATATACTAAATAAATACTTCTATTATTATTATTATAAAAAAAAAAAAAACTCTACACAAAGAAAGAGAAAATAAAACAAGCAGTAACTTAAGGTAACATAATTTTACTCCACTGGTTTCCCCTTTCAGAGATTTAGTTCACTGTGTTTACAATAGGCTCGCACCTCCGGCAGAAGCCTACGAAGAGAGACAGATACTGCAAGAGAAAAGAATATTTTATGGCCAAAGGGTTGATACCTCTGGCAAAGTACACATATGAAATCACACACCCACACCCAGACACACACACACACACACACACTCACTCACTCACAGAGGGAGAAAAGTGATCATCTGTTGAAAACTTTTACTTTTTAACAGTCAGCCATGGTCTGAGTTTTTAGGATTAATATCTTTGCTCCAGGGAAATGGAAATGCATCATCATCATCATCATCATCAGGAGCTGTGCAATTATTTAACTCCTGCATCTCTTCACTATTTGATTGTTAGGAATTGAAAATGCTTTGTAGAGAAAACTGCTTGCGAAAAAATGCAGCTCATGACTTATATAAGAAAACATAAAATATGTCCTAATAGTTTAGTTTCTTGAGCAGTTTCCTTCCTCATTTTCTAGTTTCCCAGATTTAAGTAAAATCATTGGCATCATTTTAAACTGCCTTTTTTTTTTAAATCACAAGCACTTGGTTTGACAATTGCAGATGAAATGCAGTTATTTATTGTTGCTCCTAATGTTGCTGCCAGCAGCGGAAAATGTTCTCTATAAAAGCAGACAAAGCCACGGAGGACTGCAGATGGACATGTTTCCACATAACCGGCCAATTTGTTGACTGTTTTTTTTTTTTTTTTTTTTTTTTTTTTTTTAAGGAAACGGCTGACATCTATGGAACACAAGTGCTCTGCAAAGGCACAAAGAACTTTTTCATAATTATTTCTGTGTATCAACAATAATCTGCGCAGCGTTTGCACAGCACTGGCAGCTGCCGGCTGACACTGACAGTAAAGGGAGCCGGCAGGTTGGTGGTTGAACTGTTGTGGCTGGCTGAGTTTTTTTTTTTTTTCTATGATCGTGCCCCGGACAGCAGCACAATGTTACACTGTATGCTACGAGGGAAACATTGAAACTCACAGTGACAGTAACAAAAGAGAAGCTAGTGAGTGCAGATGGTCGACGGAGCTATTTAGAGTTGAGGGTGGTGGTGGGGGTGGGGGGTGGAGGTGGGATTGGGTTTGGGAGAGAGGTGGGGGGTGGAGGTGGGAATAGAGGAGGTATTTAAGCACCAGTTTAATGATAGTTATAAACTGAAATTAATCAAATAAAAAAAAAAAAAGGAACTGCAACAGCAGAGGTAGACAGACACGGAGCAGCACCTACGTACAGATTGACCTTGCTGGTCAGGTGCCAGGCTGCCCCTGGCCAGGCCTTTGGGCATTGCGCACTGTGCGTCCCCGGTTTACACCGGCTGCTCAAAATGTCAGCGCGGCGGTCCTTTCAAAACCAATCACACACTGAGCTCTGCCACCACCTGTGACAGGGAGAGCAAGACACACACTGTAGGGACACACACAGCCTAACAAAGCCACCACCATGTCTACCATTACCACTATGTTCAAGGTTTATCTAGAGCTGCAACACTGTAGATATTGTAGAACTAATGGTGGCCAGCCTGTAGAATAAATGTCCTGAAACATAAAGGCCTTAAGGGCTGCAGAAACAAGTTGACTTCAACTACAGACAGGTGACAAATTAAAGGAAAAACGGACATAGAGTGTCTTAGTAAAGTGTTGGGTTTCTGAACTCTACTGGAGGGATGAACACTGTTTTTTCCAAAACATATTCCCTCATTTGACGTTTTGATGATGGGGGTGGAGAGCGCTGTCTAACATGTCCGTCCAAACTCTCCCATCAGCAGAGCATAACAGAGCCACTGGATCACCTGGTGTCCACACTACTCCTGAATTTTCGAGAGCCTACAACTTTTGCAAACGCTGCTTGACCCGATTTAGTTTGAAAACTCCTTTGGAAACGATGGCATAGACACCCACGGTCTTATCAGCCTCAACTAACAGTGGTGAACGCAACCTGGATAATGAATTACAAGCGTTGCTGACCTTGTGGTTTTTGCTAGCAGCTGCTGTGCAGTTAAATTCTGTATTTTTACGCTACACCTGCTTTGATGTTCAACTAATCAACTGCAGAGTGAACAATCTGCTTCCTGTTTACACCGGCTTGCACGTGCCCAGTGTATGTGAATATGCCATGTGATATGCCTTTTCAGGTGTGTTAGTATGGACAGAGATCATTTTCGTTTTAAAATGAAAACATAGTCGTGTGGCTGTAGCCTTGGTGTAGGCTCTCTCAGAACTCTCAGGTGTGATGTCATCAGCAGTCTGTAAAATCCCTCTCCATGTAACTGCGGACGGACTGCTGTTGCTGTGAAGCTCACATATTTCACTACTGCTTATGCTCATCAAATATGTTGTCCAAGACAATGTCTGACCCTGTTTACTGACATCTTTCCTGTAGATCTAAATACAGATGTCGCTTTCGTCACTGTTCCTATGGAAACACCAGCCAGTCGAGCATCTTTGTGACTGAAGCTCCTGCCATCCAATCAACCCTCTTTCAAATTCACTTAGATCTTTTCCTCTTGTCGTCTTGATACAAAATCAGACTCAACTGGATCTGTAAATGTGTAGAAGTTGCCGCAGTTGTTATGTCTCACTCATTTATTCAGGTTTTTCCTTTAATTTGTCACCCATCTGTATGTAGCAGCAGTGAAAACAGTTGTCTGCTCTGCATGCAAACTTCAGCAAAAACCAAAATCCTTTTCTTTTTTTTTAGTTTCCCACTGCAAACAAAAACCAGACAGAATCTAGATGCAGGTAGCTGAACTTGTAATGACACCGAGCACAGTTTGTTCTAAGGTGGGAGTGGGAGGGAAGGGCAGATGGGGAGTGTTTTATATTTTGTAGGTTGATCAAGCATAACTGGTCACAAGCAATTGCAAACAGATTAGCTAGCAAACCCATCAAAGTAAGTAAAAAAGGGAACTTGTGTACGTACTGCTTTGCCGGCGCCAACTGAGCACAAGATGGAGGAGTCGGGGGAGAAGGCACTGCAGTACACCCAGTTGTGATGCCCCCGCAAAACCTTCACCATGTTACCTGCAGGACACAAACAACACCATGTCATTCAGTCTCACAGCTACACTGCTGTCACAAACCACATACAACGAGTCACACTTACACTTCTCTTCAGATTATTTTTGGCTTTTGTACCTTTATTTAAAATCAGACAGTAGAGGGACAGATGGAAAACGAGGGGGGAGAGAGTGACGTTGTGGTGATACCAGGACACCCACATGACCAGTCATACTGTTATTCAATTATGTCTATTTATTATTCTTCATTGTCAGTATTTGAACATCACGTCCTTCTTGTGATCTGTTCCACAACGACAGGACTGAGCATGGAAAGACCCAAATCAACCATGTGTTTGTCTGTCTCTTAAAACCATTAACTGTTGGTTTTGTTGACAGTAAGAAAAATTACAGGACTTCACCAGACATCCTGTGAGTTTAGATAACAGTACTGACCCACGTTTTTTTAGATGTCAGGCCATGTATGTCCTAGGCCCCGTGAAGGGCCTGGGGCGAGGGCTCACATGACCTGCGCTTGCTGCATGGCTGCTGCATTTTGTGGTTCATGCAGACCATACAGCAGATAAAGAAGTCTCCTCATGTCTGTCAGTGACTGAATTTCTCAGTAAACATACAGTGGGATCCAGAAGTCTGAAACCACTTTCCCATGGGGAAGTGGCGGCTTTTGGACCTCACTGTATATTACACTAGGATTTCGCTGGACTACAGCCTGGCTCCGGCCCATGGATCTTTCACCTACTTTTCAAAACTGGTCATACAGTTCAGAGGAGTGGTATTTCTCCTGTCAACAGCATGCTCTCAGTTGACGAAACAAAAGGCCATGGAGTTGTGCTGTCACATCATTACAACTCAAGTGGAAGAAGGAGAAAGAGAAGAAAGCTGAGTTAAAGCGACAGATCATCTACGTACCATCATCTTTGAGGTCCCACACACGGAGGGTCTTATCTCTGGATGCAGAGACCAGCATGAGGCTGCCGTCAGGGGCAAAGGTCAAGTCTCGCACCACATCAGTGTGGTCCATCAGATTCAGCAACAGTTTTCCTGCAAAAAAAAAAAAAAAAAGAAAAACTCATCCGTAAGTGAAACTCCTCCTCTGTCAAGTTTGAGAACGTGCACAATTTAACAATAAAAACGTCACGGACACAGTTTACAGGCACAGCAAGAACATTCCTGCTCCAAAAACCTCCACATCCTCCAACTTTCCATGCTCAACAGAGAACTGCGAGGGAAAAACCATAAGGATTAAACAAAAACAGATGTTTGATTACGGCGTGGAATGAATAAATGGCAACTGATGCTTTTTTTTGATCACTGAAAATACTGAAACATTCTCCATGAGCAGGGGTGCAATGACAAACAGAAACCTCTGTGGATGTATCAGTCTATTTAACAGGTAATCCTCCTGAGTCTGCACAGGAGCGTTTGAAGCATGTTAGCAACACAATTTGCAAAAATCCGACATATGTAATCCTACAAAAGCCTCTTCTGACAAAACCTTCAGTACGACCATTGGTTCATGGCATCCTATCGGTTTAAGAATAGAAAAGATATCGGAGCATTACAAACATTATACAGTATATGTAGATACACGAAGAAGCAAGAACTGTACTTCCTAGTTGCATCTCCATCTTTAAACAGACTGCTGGCTTCCTAATCTGATTTCTTACTAATGAAGCTGAAGAGGAAAAGTACTTCTAATTAACGACAATGTGTCCTCACCAGTGTAAACATCCCAGATCTTGATGCGACCGTTGTTGAGGCCCGTTGCCAGTAGCAGCTGGTCCTGGCCGAATTTGAAGCGGTGCCACTCGATGTTGACGCAGCGACTCTGCTTCTCCGGCACAGAGGACCCGAAGGCCAGGCCCCAAACGATGTCACCGCAGTCGATGGTGCGTTCGCAGGGCTCGCTCGACGCTGGGATCAGCTTGCCGCCGTCGCTGTTCTGCCGGGACAGACGCCGGGGGCTTGAGGCATTCGTGCCCTCCCCACACTGGCCCATCGAACTACAGCAACGGAGGATGGAGAAAGATACACAAGAGGAGGTCAATGACAGACTGTAAGTAAGTTCATTCTGTTCAAGATTTCACATTTCTCTGAATCTGAACTCTAAACTAGAAATTCAGGTAGAAGCTGAGTTTAGATGCCTCAGACAGAGCTAAAGGGAGGAGACTGTCACATGTTAGTCATGCTACCAAGAAGGAGAACAGCACTGTGCAGCTATCAACCCCTGCTGTGAGGCTGTAGTGGAAATACGTGTCATCACAGCTTGACTTGGCAAAATCCTAAATATGTTTCAACAGCTGCAACGTTTAGTATTTTTTTACCACTGCGGGGAAAAGAAGCAGCTAACCACCCTGCAGTTTGAGAACAATGAGCAACTTGTTCTACAGATAATTTCACTGTGTCTCCGAGTCACAGGGCCTGATTGACTGGAAAAAGAGCCTGTTAAGCAGAAAGGGAGCTGATAATGCAGCCACGTGTCCAGACCACCGTGCAGCACCTCTTTCTCTTCATTGTTCTTCCTGCATTAGGTGGAATTTTGAGCAAGTTCTGCCAAACTTCAACACTATATGTGTAGATCTATGTGTAACTTGACCTTACTACATGCAGTAGAACTAAGACTTTCAGCTGCGTCACAGCTACGTTTCTGCTTCTCCTGCACTTTGTCCTGTTTGGTAAAACACACACAGCTAATAGTACCCTTTATGTGTGAAAATAATTCCATTCACTGCCGTCCTGCGTGGAACAAAAGGACAAGAAGTGGTGTAATACTGATGACATCGAATTCAGGCTCCTGTTAATCTCAGGGGAATTTGCTGGTTTAAGTAATTCCAGTGATTTACCACTAAACTGCAGATAAGTCCACTTGAGTTTGACATGGTGAAGTGCAGGTAGTCTGTATGAATGTCAAAATGAAATCAAATGCAAACAGAGCAGCTAAAGCAAACAGAGCAGAGAATATTGAGAATGTGGGCTGGATTTATCTTGAAATTATCTTTGTCAATGCAAATTAAACACAAGCTTAGAAGTCTGCCTTCATTACACAGCGCTGGCAAACTCAGTGGCTGGATTAAAGCCAGTCACACTGAAGTCACTAGGCCATCAGGATGACACACTTGTTTTTTTAAAGCATGGGTTAAAAGGATGAACTATTTTCAGTGCTTTTATGCCTTTTACTGCCACATCAACAGCAGAGAAGTGACACGAGGTATGATGTGAGAGCTGGGGAATGACATTCAACAAGCGCCCTTGCTGGATTTGAATAGGGGGACCTTGTTGGTCAAGCAATAATCATAATGATAATAATTCAATGATAATAATGATATGAAGGATTCATGGAGGGATCCAGCACCTGCAGTATGTGGACCCCTAAATATTACATGGATGACACATATATTTACTCTACATTCAAATACTAAAACCCGAAAGGTCATAACCTTAAGACTATTTCCACACACTCAATTTACAATGACAGGTTTAAGATTTTTCTTTTTTCAGAAACTTTTGAACACAATCATAAATATATATATATGTAATGTTTTAATGTAATAATCATGGCCATATTAGTGTGCTGGTAAGTGTAAGTAAGTTTCAAATGATACTTACAAGTCCTTCAGGCATTTTGTCCAGGGAATGAGCCTGACGATGCGATGCCCCTGAGACCAAGCAAAGTAGGAACCATTGGGTGCAAAGGCTACTGTCCAAGCCTCCCGCCCAGACTTCTGGTCGAAGGGAGCAACAGGCACCACGAGTTCACCGATGAACTTAGCCTTACCTGGAAAAAAACAACAACACTGCTACTTCAGCTACACTCACCAATAGGATCAATTATTAACACATTACTACCCCTGTTTGTTCAGACCAACCCACAGGAATTCCAATTATGTCAAAGTAACCTCTCATGCAGGACTCTGATTGGCTAACTGTGCTAACCAAACAATTTGTACAAAAACAGGGGGTGGGGAACTCATTGGAATTTTTTGAAGAAAATGTCTATAAAATAAACTAACTGATAAAATAATCCACGTTTGAAAATAAGCATTTGGCTTACATTTCCCCTGTAAAAAAACTAACACACTGATAGAGACAATTTCACAACAACTGTATGGAAAACACAACAAGCAGCAATTATCATGAGAAAAATAACTTCACACAGACGAATATACTGTCTGCAGATTTCTGAGTTACTTTAACATCTTTTAAAGACCAAATGTAGGTTCGTCTGTAAGTTTAATTGGTGACAACAGTTGTCTAAGGTAATGCAATAAATCTATACAGTACAGGGCTTGGTACAGGTAATTGGATTCCCCTTTACAGGTAAGTATGAAGGGAGTTGGGCTCTCTTTTAAGTACATTAGCGTGAAGGTAAATGTTTTAGGTAAAGGGTAAGCATAAGGTTGACTTTGATTTTCTTATTTCTTAAAGTTTCTGGTTGTACCACTGAATAGAATTATAGATTCTGACAATAAGAAAAAAAAAAGCTTAATTATTGAACTGGAAACCTCATATACTCATGTTTAGGGTAGTGCAACATATTTTTAATGCATGGCATTTTGGGGAAAAAACGGAATTCAAGACAATTTAAGCATTTAACTAACACTTCAGACACACTATATGAGACACAAGTAATATAGTTTATATACATATAAGTTCTATGCATTATAGAGCCTTGTAACGTTGAACGTGTACACACGCACGTACGTCTCACCGATGTTGCAAGCATTGTTATGACTCACTCAGCGCTGATTTGTGGGGGAGGGAAGAGTCTGAGTTTGCACCTCAGCGAGAAAAAAAAACGAATTTTCAACCAGCAATTTATGAAAAAGCACGACTGCTGGAGTTTGTATTTTTATTAAACCAGGGGATTGCATAACAACCACGATGTATTTTCTCTTGTAGAAAAAAAAATATATATATATATATTTACGAGCAATACAACTTACTGACCTCTTTCTGGTGCTCTGGGCTCATTATCGCCCCCTAACGGCGGAGACGCGCTGGCACTTGACGGTTGATTAAAATCGCATTGCTGTGATTGTTTTATACGCCAACGGCCACAAGAGGCAACTATGAGTCCATTTCACATTCAACAACAAGCATGCACCACGAAGGTGTGATTTTTATGGAGTGTTTTTAAACAGTATTTTATGGGTTTGCGAGATAACAGAGGACTAACTGGTTGTTGTACTAATGAACTGTACTCCCCCCGCGGTGTACAATGGGGGTTGGGTGTACTCACTACGCAGAAAATACTGTACAAAACAATAATTGGATGTAGGTTAGCTTAAATTGATTTATAGCGGTTTAATTTCCGAGCTGTTGCAATACCTTCGCCCAAGCTAGCTGGTACGTTACGCTAACAATTTTTAGTTAGGTGTAACGTCATTTTCCAGGTTACGACGGTTGTTGTATGTTTGAAAAACACTATTAAGAAGCTCAGAATTTCAGATGCTAACATTACACTGCCTTGGAAACGGTATAACAGTAGCTTTCTACTACAACGCTGCTCACTGGACCTGCAATCATAGATATTATTAAGCGTAGCATTTCCAACTTACCTATATCATTTTCGTTGACAGAGTCTGGAAAGCTTGCCATCTAAATTAAGCGCACAGACCTAAGAGAAAAACCCAAACGCGGACTGTAAAACGAAGATATCTGAAGGAAATAACCAATTGGTGCGGAATTAGGCGGCGCTTTTTTTTTCCCCTCTTCCGATGTCTGCGGAGTCGGATGAATTCCTCCGCCGATCTTAACGTCCCGGATGAAAAATACAGTCGTCGTTAGACCTTCGTGAATTTCTTGTTTTCCTTTACTTCCTCGACAACAGACTCTAGTTTACTGTTCAAATCTATAATTACGCTGCTCGGGTGTTAACACTCACGGATTAAAAACGGTTTAACACGTAACTGTACGTTATAACTGTAAAGATGCGGCTACAGTCCCTACTAATACAATGGCTTCTAACTGGATGTTACCGAGCTATTTTCATCTAGGAGGCTGTCCAAAAACCCGTGGGAGGGTTTTCATTATACGTCAGCACAGTTGCCATGGTAATACTATTAACACCTCCCCCTGCTGCCCCTCTTTTGACAACCAAGAACAAAATGGCGCATTACCGCCACCAAGTGGTACAATGTGGATTTTTCTACTGAAGCATTTTGTGTACAAAATTACTTTTGTGTACAAGTAATGCATTATAATCATACGTAGTTTTTTTTGTTTGTTTTTTTTAAACCTGAAACTTTAAAGTAAAACATTAACACCTTTTCTTTTCAGCCTTATTTTTTTCCCATGTTCCCTCTCGGACTATATCTTGTAACATTTACAACATTTATTTTTTTGTTTGTTTGTTTGTTTTTGCTTTATCGTGTCTGCCATATATTCATATATTAATATATAAACTATATATGTTAATATATGAATCATTTCAATATTCTTGCCCTTTTAAGGCTGGACTCAAATCCTAATTTATGGTGCTTATGCAAAAAAAAAAGGGTGAAAAACATTTAACACTTCTCCATCCCTGTGTTTGCATTTATGACTTATGAAGTCCAAAAGGTTTTGCTTCATAGAAAAAACTTTAATGGTCATGTTAATATATTTACAAATATAGTTCATGAACAAATCAGACAAGGTACAGCACAATTATTTCAATGACTAATGACTCTGCGGAAATAAAAATGAAAACACAACAATCACTAACAACCATTACACAAACATGTCTAGTCTTCACCTTCACCACTACCTTGTTGATCTTAAAAAAATCTAATCTAACAATGGCTGATGTTTCTGTTCCTGTTTGGCATTTTAATGACACAGAGATGAGCTCCTTATAAAACAGCTGTGTAACTGATGACGTGGTTTGATATGACGTACATTCTTACACTATCATGAGCAGAGCCCGAAGCTCATATGCACGGTAAACAATTCATTGGTGCTGAATGGCTAGACCTCAGTTTATGTACATTCATGACACACACAACTAAACCTGTGTAACATCTTAGCATTTCTCTCGGCGGTCGTCCAGGTGACTCAGCTGCTCAGTCATGTCTGCTGACTGCCTTAAATAATCCATCACTATTTGGGTTTGCAGTGAAAAGAGAAAATCCACCCACCAACATCATTTTTACACCATTCAGGACATTTTTCATGAACTTTTCCTCAAACTGTCTCATTTATGTGGAGTCTGGAGTGTGCCAATAGAAAAATGATACGCTTTACAATTAATTGATTTTTAATTTATTAATTTACATTTTGAGTGTGCATTATACAACTAAGTAAAATCTAAAAAATATTACATTAATTAACATTTAAATTTAACATTTATTTAAATTGAAAAATATATTTTAGAAAGCATTTAATATTTTTTCACTGCTTTAACTGAGGATGGCTGTTTTTAATGTAAAGCTGTGTAAGCAGCTTTAACACAAAGGGGTAGTGAACTGGGCACTAAATAAGTCTAATTTAAAATAGCTGTAATATGATAATTAAATGCAAAATATTAGTAAGTTTTGACTGTTTTTAATAGAATAACCTATAAATGATTATTATGAAACACAGTAAAATTGTATTTATACTGGTAGCACACTCGTGACCTTCAGTATGTTTGATCAGCTCTAGAGATTAACACGAACTTTACATTCAAATTACAAAATAAACCCAGGAACATGAACATCACCAGTATCTGTTTGACTGCATTGCTTGTTTTGAGTGGATTTTCACTTTAGTGCTGTGTCAAACATGGACAGCTATGAAATTAACTACAACTACTATATTAGTGACAATACATGATCTGTGTTTTGGAAGACTAATTAATGAAAATGGAATTGCAAATATAAAAACAAAAACAAAAAAAAACAACAGTTGTAAAATTGTTTTACAGTTGCTTCAAATCATTCATACAAAAAATTTAAAAAAATAAAATGAAATAAAATAAATGTAATTCTGGTCTCTGTTATAACTTAATGATACTAAATGGTCCTAATGATGCTTTAACTTCAGGGGAATAACCTGCACTGTATCCTGTGTGGGAGATTTGTATTCGTGAGGTCTTACAAAAAATAAAAATGGAGGACAATTACTGGGGTTGGTGTCCCTGAGAGGAGAACACATCAACAAGTTCCCTAAAACAACAGCCAGACATCAACCTACTTACTGACCGCACCAAAAGCCAGTCAGGCAAATACAGTCCTGAACAACTGTGGAAGCCAGAGATGCAATTAAATACACAACAGTCCGATCATCAAAGAGCCCCAGAGTATAATGGATATATAAAGGATATGCAAGTGGCGATATTGCACGTATATTAAAATCAACAGTGATTTGGAAGTGAAAGGTGAAAGGTGAAAGGTCATGGACCAAAAACAAAAGCTCCCTCATCTGTTCAGGCTTCTTGTGACTCCTGGTGACTGGCTCCTGTCTCACATTGTCTTCCATTCAAAATTATTAAACTGATTCTAAACGGGTATTTTTCTTTATTGAGAGTACATGCAATAGACTAGTGCTGTGTCTGACGTTTTTAATGCCAGTTATAAATGTCAATTATTTGCAGATTAATTTCACTTTGACTTGAAGATCGACTTGTGGAATTTCCCTTTAAAAGATCAACGTTTAAACACATTTGACCTTAAAATCAACACCAATCAAATGATGAGACAAAGCATTTCACTTAATTTTGAGGGTGGGATAATTTGAGGGAAGAAAAAGCTGGTCACATGACTACTAGTCTTATGGTGCAGGTGCATTGCGGGGACAGGGAATAGTGTAGGTAGGGTTGTAAACATAACCTGCAGGAGCTAGCATGACTAGCGGGCTAACCTCAGTCACTGTCCTTACACTCGCTACAGCCCAGCAGCGTCTCTCCCTCTCTGCTGCTTGTATTATTCCACTGTGCAAATATTAAACAAGAACATAAACAATAATTTTAGTTTGACTGCATGATTAAAGGACCAGACCATTGTTGTTGTTGTTGTTTTTTTTTTTGCATGTTTCAGCCCATTTATTAAAGCTATGTTCATTTCTTTTTCGCCACCTGTTGGCAGCAGAACATGTAAACACAACATTGACATATTATCACTTTATCAACTTTGTTATAAACGTGTTAGCAAACAACCGACACATCCAGCAGTTACAGAGCAACATTAGCATCCGTTTGGACTCATTGTTTACATCCTCCTGATGAATCTAAGTCCAACATTCGCTCGTCTTTTAGCTCTGTTTTGGTCTCCACCTGAGAAAAAACATTGAGATTTTAAGATGCTAGCTGCACTGCTGTTAAAACCGGCTAGTTTGCCGCTCGGTGCAGTGGGTTTACAGCTGCCTGTTGCTCCAAAACAATGAGCTGAGGTGCTCTGCAGAGTTGGTGATGATTCTCTGTGGGACTGGTCACAGTCATTTGATCAATGGTTCATATAAAATATTGATAAATGGCGCTTTAAAATAATTTTATGTATATATGTGACTTACAGTAAATGTTTAAAACATGCATTAACACTGGAATGGTCCTTTAATAAATTCCTTAATTAAAAATCACTGTGATATCCAAACTTTGTTCATCACTAATTAAGCAAATGGCACGTTTATGTAAATTTTAATTAATGGGGATATAACGCTCACAAAATTGAGAAAAAAATCCAAATTTGAGATTTTCCGAAAACTTTTTTATGCACAAAAGGGAGAAAAAAAAGTTGTTTTCACTGATTGAAACTTAATTTGTCAAAAGTTTAAAATCAGGCTTTTTTTCCCCAAGGGAATCTTGCACTGTAAATTTACATCACACATTCTTGTTTTCCTCTCCTCCTAACACCTTCTGTTCACACGGGCTACATCACTTCTACTACTTCTCTAATCCATGCTAGTTTCACATCTACACATACAAAATGAAAAGCACAGTAGAAAACGGGTGAATGAAAAACACACAAGCAAATTTTTTTTGTTTTGTTTTTTTGTGTTTTCATTTTCTTCAGTCTCCGATCTCAGTGACATCCTATCAGAACGAGTCTTCACTGTGTGATCAATCATGTTTTCAGATGTGTTATCCTCTAAAAACAAACACATCCACCATTCATGGCATGATTTGCTGAAAGAGCACAGGGGATAAAACCTGAGATACGGCAAAAGTAGTCTGAGCGATTATTTGGATTTCCTTTAAGGTCTTGCAAAAAAATGTCCTTTAGGTTTAATGCAAGAGTTGTGGAAATCTGGCAGAATATTAGCAAAGGTTCTCTGGATGTGGCAGGACTGAAAACATAATGCAAACCAACAGGACATGACCTTAATAATGCAGGGGCTTATGGGTAGGCGGAGGTAGATGTTGACATCTGTCAGCATTTGTTCTGAAGTGAACAGAATTTGATGATATTTTATTTTGAAACATCTCCTTCATGTTTCTTTCAGTCATCGTTTCCCACGGGGGGGGGTGCACAGGGTTCAAGCTCACCCCCCACCCCAGTTTTACTCCCAATGGTGCTGACGCATTAACCAACCAGCAGGAGTCGCTAAAGCTGCTCCACTGAACACACTGTGTGTCATTGTGTTCGTCCTGTACTTTACAGGGAGTTGCTGGTTTTCTGCAGCCAATCACAATATGAAACCTGGAGGCAGGTAAATCCAACAAACTGGGCACGCTCAGTTTTATTTTCCACTGAAGTTATAGAGCGGATTGATTTGAGAAGTCTGCAGGTATGACAACTATACGCTATGTAGAGCTACAGGCCTCGATATGCTTCACTGCACCTGACGATTTTTTTTTTTTCGATATTATCGTTTCAAAATTGACAATTCTTGAACTCGTTCTGTCGCTTTTCATGTGAACGACACTGCGAACGCCTCCAGGAGAGACTGAAAATGTGCTGCTGTGCCATATTTAAAAACGACAATCACATCATGTTTTCAGACTTGGTACAAACTCCACCGTCACCGTACCCTGGGTTTTACACTTATCCTGACTCACTCTGCTCATGTTTATCCTTCACGTCACACCCACGTCTGTTCACGGTCCTCTCGTTTAATATTCTGACAACGAAGCTCGTCACAACTTTTTTTTTTTAACCTGTGCAGCTGTGCTGTTAGTGATGCTACAATAGACTGAATGACACTGTTTTCACCAAACTAGTAAAACTGCTCCAAACAAACACGGGTCAGTCCTTGATAAAAAACAAAAAAACAAAAACAAAACATGATCACACGGTTATCATCACGGCCATGGACGAGGGTCGACAGCTGGGGCGGCCACGACAGCGTTAACGGCCACATTATTCTGACACTAGAGATTTTCAGTTACGTAACCCCTGACGATCAAAATATTACAATCTGGTTAAGAAAACATGGTAAAAAAGCTCTACATGGTTTTAGTGTATATAAAGGGGAATGTGCACACTGGATTTGAAATGCCCAGCCTGAGGGACCCCCCCCCCATATCTCAGAGACACACGGTCTGCTACTGTACAGGACTGGAAAAGTGACAAAGGTTCATATGGCGAGGTCATAAACTACGCACGCAAGGGTTCCTCTCAGTGAATTAAAGGAAGCAGTTAACAAATACTGGTCAGGACTAACGCAGTTTCCTTTACATTTAAAATTATATATCAACAAAGTGTTATAATACAGAGATAATGTATTTATAGACAGTTAGCCCAGTGCTGGGATCGGCCCGTTTCTTCTCCCTGGGAAGAGGAGACCAGGAGGGGTGGAGGGGTTGGAGGGTGGGGGGGTGGGTGGTGGTGGGGTGGGGGGGTCTCAGCTCATTGCTGAGCCTCATATTGGCTGGTTTGGATTAGGGTGGGGTGAGCAGGGGCCGGGGGGTGCGGTGGGGGGTGGGGGGTGGGGGTGGGGGGCACGAAGAGTCGCAAGGCCACCACCCAATGTGTCGTGCTGCCGCCGCCATGGTAACCCTGATATGGTGCAGCACGGGAGGATCTGAAATGAAGAAGAGGGAGTCTGGGTGACGAAGGTTTACGTCCCAGAATAGAAACAGTGAATCGGGATGTTTGTGACAGAACGACAGAGAGATCAATGATTCAAGTGACTTGATCAGACATTTGGATTTTCTTTTTTTTTTTTTCCCTTCCTTCTCCACCCGGTGAGATTAAATCAAATTGGTTCAGGTTCAACACATTTCTGACTCACAGAAGCAGGAAACTTTCTCAGTTCAACGTCAGCGTCGCTCAGTGGAGTCATTACAGTCATTACACTCCCTCTGTTACCTGCATGTTGTTTACAACAGGACTGAGAATTGACGGAGCAGCTCACCATGATATTGGCTCGTTGCGTTGTTCGTTCTCTTCCTGAGTGTTTGCCCTCCGAGCCTGACCGTCCTCCTCTGGAGACACACACACAAATATTATAAATCATATGTTGATGGAGATAAAACAGACCCCTGACAGAGCAGTGGAGGTGTGAGGAACTGTGTGTTATGATTATAGTAGACTACACAAACACACACACACACACACGTTCTACATTGTGTGGGTGACATGTGCTTTTCTTACCGCTGGGGTTTCCCTCTACGTCGTCCAGGAGGTTGGCTGTAGAGTTGGCTGTGCCCAGTCTGGAGAGGAGCTCAGTTAAGAACAGCATGGACTCATGGAGGTGGACAAACAGCAGCAGCAGAAACCTCAACAGTGATGGAGTTGATGGAGAATGGAAGTGCGTATAAATGCCTCCTCAGAGGTGATGATGGTGCTTTTATTTGCCGGATTAAATCATTTCTACTTTTGATTAAATGTCATATGATCGTGGTCAGAAAATAAGATTTGGCTACTTTACAACCTTAAACAACAACAACAACAAAAACACCATTAGCCGGACGATGTGACCGGGGGTCAAAGGATACGAATGGTGCTTCAGGAGCGTCCTCCTCTTTGACTTTCTCCTCTTCGTCTTCTCTGAGAACGTTCTGGCGATTTCAAACAGCTTCTTTCTTGTTGCTGGAGGTGAAAAATGATCCTTCGTCATTAACTACACGGGACGACGACCCTGAAGTAGCCGTGTAACGGTGCGCGTCGTTCGCTGGGTTCAGGATGTTCGGTTCGGTGTGAGACCTCCTTGGTTCAGTACAGCTAAACATTTACCGTCAGAACAGTCTGCGTCTACACACTCGTCTCCTGGGGCCAGAAGCATAAATGATGCGTTTCCCGCTCATAAACTGGTCTTTATAAAAGAGATCCGAGTTACAGTGAAGTGAAAATACTAAATATGCAGACACGTAATTAAACATAAAATAAAATGAACCTCACGGAGCTTCATTATCAACATAAGTTTTGCCGTTTACACAGCAATAACAATTTTACAATTCATAAGGGGAAATAATTGTGTTTGTGTTTGTTTCCTTCAGCATCTTGTGTCCTTCTCATTTACTGTGAGTCGTTCTGTAACTGTTTTAATATTTACTAATCAGTGTTGGAGTCTGGAGCCTCATTAAAACGTCTCAGTAAAGTCCCAATAAATGAAGTTCAGAGTGAAACAGGACTGTACTGAAGTAAACTGACGCACGTTTTTTACCTCAGTTCTTCTTCCTCCTCGTCTTTCTTCTGTCTCTGATCGCTTGTGGCACAGACTGTTTTTTTATGCAACCTGATTAAAGAAGTGTCTTCATCTTTCATGGCTAAATGTGGGAATGGAAATGAGGCTCGTTCACGTGCGCCAGATTCCTCAAAGAGTGAGATTTATAAAGTGGGACCATGCGAGCGCACGGCTTTATAATTCGGATGATGCATATTTCCGGCTTTGTGTGTTCACATAGTTTTAGTCATGAATCTCCACAGAGTTTTATGCTTCTGGCGCCAGGAGCGGGAACTCCACGTCCACGCAGAAGGTTTTGACAGTTGTCGTCCGTCAGCTGCAGACAGGAGCACCGTTACACGTCTACCTCCGAGGCCGATGCAGCTCCTAGTGAAACACCAGTCGTGCTGTCGATCAGGACACTTACATTTGCCCATGTGCTTGAGTTTGTCTCTGAACAGGGCGTCGTCTGAGACGGCCTCCATTGAAGCTGCAGAGTACTGCTCCCCTGTGTGCACACACACACACACACACACACAGCAGCACTACAACACTGTACGTTCATGTGCACTTCAACTGCAGAAGCACAAGTGTTTTATAGTACGATGCCTGTAGCACGTGTCCTCGACACAAACAACAAATGTCACAGTGAAGCTCGACACACAAAGACCAGTATTCAGTAGAATTCAGAGGGCAAAGAAATTGCAGATAGCTCGGGCAGAAGAAGCTCGATGAGTGATATCTACCTGTGGAATTCTCCATGCTAGATGAATGACTGGACTTTGATTTCTTTGATTCATACTTCAAGCGATCTAAAAACAGAGAGCAGATGTTATGACCACTGATGTGAGGAGGAGGAAGAGGACGAGGAGGAGGAGGTGATGAACAGGATGTGATGAGCTCAGGTAGATAAAAACTCCCAAAAAACCATGAAGCCTCCACATCCGTTCATCCTGAGCAGTGTCTGATGGGAAGGTAAAACAGTTTAAAGCAGCCTGTCTGTTTTAGCCAACTCGTATCAACAAAGCCTGAACTTCAGAGGCGCTAAACGCTAAAAACATTTCACTGTATTAAACTGTCTTTCTTCAAACATCTTGAGCCGTTCTAGTGCAGCGTAAAATCCAAATTCATGTTGTGAAGAACAATACACATCTTTAGAGTCTTCAGTCATAAATGTCTTCATAAAACTGAGATTAAATAATAAAAACACATGAAAAACCTGGACTTGGTTCTTTCAGTGAAACTATTACAACAATGGAAGCAAGAGCCTGGATCGTAAGCTGAGGGATGTGAGACTGTGACGGATGGAGACGTGTGGAATTAATTTTGTCCAAGTAAATAAAAAACAAAGAAATAAACAACAACAAAACAAAAACGACAGCAACAGGAATCCAAAACTATTAACACTGTTGAACGGGACAGAATTTAAATGTGAAAGGCAAAAAATATTTTTATTTTAAAAATATTTTTGGAAATTCACGTGTGAAGTGGAAAAAAACAAACAAAAAGACTTTAGACTTGAGACTGGACAGAGCTCGGCTCTGCATGTACATCGCCATGGTAACTTATGCTGCACAATTTGCACACGTCTGATGCATTTGATGACGTGTGCATCTGATAAGGTCTGATAATTGATACCAGTAACCTATAAGGTTTGGTGTAGAAATCAATCACCTCAAATCTTTACTCATGAAGACCCACATGCTGTTACGTTTACTGGAGATATAATATATAATATAATACGAGTGTGATTGGATGATTTGACCCCTGGTGTTCAGGCTACTGCTGTTTTCTTTGACTGATAATAAAGATATAAAGTTTGTACACGATGAAGTCATTCCACAGAACAGGCTTGTATAAACCGGTGAGTCGCTGCTCGTGTGAATGTCGTCTGTCGGTCTCGTGACCGATCCGTCCAAACCACAACACAGAAGTCAGAAACCTAAGCAAAGCGATGCGGTCACACCTGGACGGCCATCTTGGAAAGCCAGGTTCTTTGCCTTTCACATTTCTCGTGTTAGCAGCTCTGGGTTGCTGATAGCGCTGTGTGTGTGGTTCGTGATCACACGTTTAAGTCTCATTACTCACACAAAAGTAATTCCAGAGAGACATGCACGGGACTGGAGCATCAAGGCAAATTATGGCAATAACAGCACAAAAAACAAGGACTGTTCGAGGTGCCCTGGGGAGTTTTCTTGTAAACAAACTAAAGTTGTGTTTACATTCTTCAAAACACTCTGTATGTTTATGTGTCCTTCAGCTCCAACAAATGTGTCGAGTACATTTCCCATTTTTGAAAAGTATATCCTGTAGCGTTTATGATCACGCTTACTAGCCGGCAGCCTTCGTCTTCTTTGTCTTTGTTACTGCACCGTCACCTGTACATTAGTGTACATGGTGTGAAACCACTGTGGACCACGTCTCCCGGGTGTGTGCATGTACGCCCGCCTGTCCTTGTGCAAACTAAACGCTGACTCCATGTCACTAGTAAAGGTCAAAAACTCCACAGGGAACCTGTGATGGAAACGACTTTAACACGACTTGTTGGTGACTTTATATCTAAAGTATCTCACAACCTCAAGTGTGAAAACCTAACACCCTGTGTACAATACTACACCACCAAAACCAGTACAGCTGTCTAACATTACGAGCAGAGTTTCTCTGTGTATAATGATTCCGGCGTGAACAGTCGTACCTCTCTCTAAGGCGATGAGGAACTCGCGGTTGCGCTGCAGCTCCCTCATGAACTCCTCGTTCTGCAGGAACAGAGCGATGCGCTCGTCCTCCAGATACTGCTTCAGCTTCTTGTCTTGCTCCGTGCCGCCGGTCGTCAAACCCGGACCTCCGGCGGTCGCCGCGGCTCCAGACCGAGAACCGGACGGGGCGGTCCATTGGCTTATTGAAGAAACTGAGGAGGAGGATGACGATGAAGGCTGGGATAGGCTGCTCTGAGAGCTCTGCTGAGGTGAAGACAGGAGAGGTCGTTGGTTATAAAATGAATTTGTGTGGTTTGATCACTCGAGGAGGTGGCTCAGTGTATGATGTTGTTGTGTGGTAGAAATGAAGTGTGGTCTCTTACAGTGAAGATTCAGTTTCGCCCAAAGGTACATTACTGTTTAATGCAGCGCAGGCCTCTCAAATCAACCTGCACTCAAACTGCATTACAATAATGTAACACCGATCAATATCAATTCAGACTTCACTATTAATGAGCTACACAAGTCGGGTCTAATGATTTCTGTAATGTGTGGAAATGAATAGAAACCGATGGCTGACTGGAAGGGTCAGGAAAAAACATCTGAAATAATTAATCTATTAAATTAGAAGTAAAGCTATAAACTAACAACAAAACCAAGACCTCCTTAATCTTTTACAAGAAACTGCACCACAAAGAAAATGAGGAACATTATCAGAACCAGTCTTAGAGGTTCAGGCCAACTGGCAAACTGACAAGACTTCCCCCACTCACAGTGCTGAGCCTGGCTCTTCCTCTTCCCAAGCCCCCCCACGTCTCTGAGGGAGGATCCAGTCCAGCTGACGCACTCAGAGACCTGTCAGCTCAGACTAAAAGACTTTCCCTGTGTTATCAGCGATTGATAAGTTTCTATATTTTCCTCCTGTACATGAGCTAACAGCTGCAGAAGCTTCTGTTTATCAAGCACTTTATCTTCTATGCTGCATTTTATAATGCAAATATCTATTTTCTGACTTGTTACAAAATGAAAGTAAAGTGAGGTGAGAATTTTACTTGTGTGCGCTCAAATCAAGCTGAGTGTAATCAGTATAAAGCACATGCATGCAATAACATCTGTTATTTAATAGGTTTAATTTATATATGATTCCACAGGCCAGAGCTGAGGCTTCCCTTCTCCAGGCTTATTATTATCATCATTATTATTTTAGACATTCATTTATTTCACAGCATTTCTCGCTACACCACAGCTGACGTGCACAGAAACTACGAAACCAAATGCAAACATTTAACACCTGTGTGCTAACATTGTTCTTTTGTTTTTCTTTACCTGTGTACTGTTCGACTGCTGCGGCAGAATCCGCAGAAAATCGTCGGGCAGATTTCCCAGTAAAGGAGGGTTCCAGTTCCGGTAGCTCCGGACCTGCTGGTGACCTGGAGGAGGCTGGGCTTCAAATCTACGAGATGAAGAACAGAACGACTCGGTGCTTCTACCAACTGCATTAAGTTCATCATCAACTAATACCCTTGTCAAACTACTATTAATAATTTACATGTTTTAAATTGTGCTCTTATGAAATCACATGACATCAGAGACACGAAGGATGATGATCAAAGGACTGATGAGTGAAACATTTACAAAGAACAATTTAAAATACTTTCACACAAACAAAATCAGCTGATTGATTATCTTTTATTGATAATCTGACTCTTAGGTGGAGTGTTTTATTTCTGTTTTTGGTAATACTGTCATATATGTGCACATAATGCACCGTCCTGTCTCGTCTACACTTTGATCTGGACTTAAATATCGAAGCAGCTTGCACCAAATACAAATGTCCAAATGCTTCCATGACATTTAATGCTAATTAGCTAAATGACACCGCGTTAGCATGCTAAACTAAGCTCATGAACATGATAAACATTACACCTGCTTAATTTCAGCATGTTAGCATTTTCAGTGCGAAAAAGTAAGGAATATGTTTCAGAGTATCGGCAGTGGTCTGAACCAGAAGCGACTCTAAGAACTAGACAACCTTTTCTTCACCTACAAACCTCCATCCATTCAATTAAATCAGAGGCACCAAACATAAAAACAGGCTCTTAATCAGATAATCTCACAATCGTGGCCTCAGCTTCCTCTGTGTTAAGTGTCCGGTCCCTCTTTGCTTACCGGGGTGGGGGCGTTGGTGGGGTTTCCGGGTATTTCCTGTCATAAATGTGCATATCATATGTTGGTGGAGAGTAGACTGGAGGCGGTTCCTCATCTGAACTATCAGGCTCCAGTGTTCGCTCCAGAATCTGGAAAGAAAACAAGGTGATACAAGCTTCGTTTCAGTGAAATGTTTAGACCACCTTGTCAAGGTTAATGATAATACCATCACGTAGGCTTGGGCGATATTAAAAAACGTCATGTCTCGATAGGGTTGCACCGCGTTATCTCCTATAGTCACCCGGTGAAACTGCCAATAGCCCATACGATTAATAAGGTAATACAATAATGGGAAAACACTTTTGTTAAGTAATCGCATGTATTTTAAATCTTTTCTCCACCATCCGTCACTGACCCTTCTGATAATCAATGAAATAAAAACGGAGGGTTTAGTTTACGTCGTCAATACTGACAGCCCATCGCGTCGGGCTTGCATTAGGTTCCTAACTGGTGTTGGATCCCGCCCACTGACCTCTGCTGGGATGCTGTCATCCGAATCCGAACTGTCGTCCGAGCCCTGTCCGTCGATGCTCATCTGGAGCAGCTGGTCGATGGTGGCGTCCACGGCTCCGTTGTTGGAGCGCAGCACGCACTCGATCACCTCATAGTCCATAGAGGGGAACATGGTCTTGAAGTCCTCCATGGCCTGGTTGAACTCCAGGCGTCGGACCTGCCGGTTGGGCCTGCTATTGTTGAGCTGCCCCTGTCCGCCGCCGCTGCCGCCGCCGCCACCTCCCCCGCTGCCGCCGCCACCACTTCCACTACTTCTGGAGCCTCCATTGCTGCTGCTGCGTTTGAACAGGCTAGTCATCCTCAGGGCCTGGCTGACTCAGGTGCTGCCAACCTTCTGACAGGATGGCTCTACGTTTCCGTCACTTCAGCCCCTTCAGTCTCACTTGCTTTCCTCTTTTCCCCCCCACTCAGTTTCTCATTCTTACACAAACATGGCAGTCTTCTGATGGGAGCTCAGAAAAACTGTGAGTTTCCCCCCCCAGATGCTACTTGTTATTCAGTAGCATCCGGCATGACTGGCTGCGGTATCAGGTGTTCAGGTGTGTGACGGTCAGGCGGTGACAGAAATGAAACGTCCAAGGTTCTGTCACCAGGTGGAGATTAGAGTCAAAATCGTCCAGGGAACACACATAGCTGCATCACACTCATCACCTGCAGAGAGAGAGAGAGGACAGACAGAGCGTTAGCAACAGACATTATATAGTTCCTCAATTAAAGCACATCACTACTTCTGAACTGAGACCCAGAGTTCTGCATCGGTGTGTCGCAGCTCCACAAATACCTTCAGACGCTGGATCCAAAGAAACCTCCAGGATCACAGATATCCATTTAAAAAGCCAAGTCAAGAAGTGAACTCACAAACGGACAGATGAAGACGTCCGGTCCCTCATTAGCATTTAGAGGGAAGTAATTAACTAATTCTGTCATTTCTGCTGTTTCCAAAAAAAACACACACACACACTTTTGTTTTTATGTTTGTACAGCACTTTGCAACTGTTTTGAAAAGTACTTTATAAATAAAGTTATTATCATTATTATTAGAATTATAAATGCAAAAGAAAAATAGCCACCGGTTCCTCCACTTATCTCTCCAACTATTGCTGATACGACCTAGCTAGTTAGAGGCATTCATTGAGCACTTTATTAGGAACACCGTACTGATACTTTGATAAGGGTCGTGTAAACTGCATGTTTTGTTTGGATATTCATAATTTGGCCTTTTTCCGAATTTAGCATTTTCCAATTAAGACGTGGGGCGACGTCAGTCATGTTTAAGGAGCAGTGTTCGCACATGATTACAGCTGGGTAGTGACGCGTGCCCATTAAAAATTCCCAACTCGCAGTTGGTCGAAAAGATGCAAAATATCGACACAGGATAAGTGACACTGAAATACTTTATATACGTTCAACTTTGAACCCTATCAGGGGCTTTTAACCTGGTTCTGCCACAGAGTGAGAGCGTGCTAGCTTTAGCGTGTATGTGATACCAGGCCTTGGCCTTGCACACACAAAGCTACCTTCCCAACATCATCATATTAATGTGCACCTAGGAACCGCGCTATATTTAGCACACAATCCAGGCCTCTCAGTCCTCAGAGAGTGTGTGTTTCTGTGTGTGTGTGTGAGAGATGTTGCTTACTGCTTGCCCTTAAAATCACCGTGGTCTTTCCTTTGACCAGCGAATGGTTCTGGACCAGTGAGTGAACACATGCACTAACTGTATTTGTCTGAACCAGTTACAAAATGGCGGCACAGTGTCTCACTCATATGACTTCTGAGCTCTTAATTTATATGTAGCGTTCTAGCGATTTTCACATGTGTGTTGTTGTTGTTGCGTGCATCGGCGGTAAGTCATTTTGGATGTTTAACCTGACCTCACCTGTTGACCAATGTATGCTAATCTGTAATTCAGTTAATCTCATGATAGCAGCGACACTGAACTGCCTCACTGCCACCATCGCTCACTGACTCTGACCTGGCCGGCAGCCTGGCAGCTTATTGGCTGTAATACTGCAGCATCAGTGACAGTAAAAACTGTTTTATTAATTAACTATCTATTTTAATTAAATTACTGGGGGTCAAATAATACTTATGTAGTTGCATTTTACAACACATCTTTTACACATTTGCTCAATTGACCCATGTAACCAAGAGTGATGACAACTAACCAGTCGCTAAACCCCTCCCCCACCCACCAATTGTCCAAATATAACTCGGCAACCATGTGTGGGTTTCTCCAGTGTGCATGCAGCTGTAGGAGAAAGAAATTTATAAGAAAGTTACAGTTAACCTTGTAGTTTAGTCTTTTCGTTACATCGTTACACAGCACTGAATTAGTTAATATCATGTATTTAGCCGTCAGATTAATATTTAAGATCCTTTTACAAGCTTCTTATTTTCAAATGAATCAGCTGGAAACATTGGAAAATCACTTGGAAATTGAGCTTTCACTGATATAGTTATAATAATAATAAATAAATAAATAAATAGTTATAAATAATAGATATAAGCTTGAGCTGGTAAATTCTGCCAATGATAAATGTTTAATTTTATTTGGTAAAATGAACAGCTGCTGACTAAAACTGAGAACTCTGCATGTTTCAAGTGGTAACTAGCTCAGGAAGCTTGACAGGTGTAGCAACGGTAACTAAAGGTTGTTTTCACACCTGAAAGTCCGAACCAAGGTTCATGTTTTTGTCACATTTTGTGCATTTGATCTGGTTTGTTTTGGCTTCAAGTTGCAATTTTGTGAGAGGACAACAGCACGCAGGTCGGCATCACATACCTACATCCTGTCGTCTCTCTATACTTGACAGTGATTGGTTTATAGATGGGCGTCTATATGTATCTGAGAAAACCAGCTGAAAATGCTGATGTGGGGCTTTCACACATGATCTAATACACACCGTTTATTAAAAGAAAGTTTTAAAAAAGTGAATTTATAAAAACAATCAATATTTTCAGTTACATTTCTAATGAAAAAGTTAAAGAATAAAAATCGCTGTACTTGTAGGCCTGAGTAGAGTGTAACTTCAGAGCTTTATTTCTTCCATTTTCAAACATGAAATAATACTTTTTACAACCTTAAACTGTTCTTTGATCATATTCGGAATGATTATAACTAAAGATAAAGAAGCCTCCATACACACTACACAAAAGGAGGATCCAGAGTTTGTGCAGAAAAAAAGGAGACCATGTATGTGGAGTAAGAACAGTTGAAAAGATCAACCCTGACTCCAGAGCGTTAAAGAAGGTGTACATCTTTCAATAATGACCATATGACATCCACGCCATTAAAGCAGATTTCTTCTCATGTGATAACTCTGTCTGGACTCGGTTACATGAAAGTAAATGTGAGAATCAACATATGAAACAACCTAGAAAACATGTAGTTCAGAACGTTTCCCGTTCCCGTTTCTCTTCTGCTGCCACAGCCATCTCCCTCGTTGCCCACTAAGCTGTGGATCATGTGACCTCTGTTGACCAGAGGCATGGCACTGATGCACAACAGAGGCATCGGCACAACACCAGAATATTCCCCTCGCAGCAGCAGCAGCAGCAGCAGCAGCAGGATAATTTGCACCTTGTTAATGATCCACCTACAGCGAGAAAGCAAAACACCCTGACAGAGAGGTGACAACTGAACTGAAGCCAAGAGCCAAGAAGACACTTAACCAAATCACACACAGTCTGTCAGTCAGGGTGTTAACAGCCACTAAAGCCACATGGAAGTGTTGAGACGGGAAGCAGAAGTTTGATTAGAAAGCCAGAAGTCACTGTGCAAAGCTACAGGAAACTCAGTGTAATTGTGCTTTGATAAGTATCAAATAGGCAAAACATGATTATAGAGGCAGTTTCAATCCTCAGTACATTCAAATTCATAAAATAAAATACATTATTCCTTGGTTACAAGCCCCCCCCCTCCCATGTCCCTCGAGCAGGCCTCTCAAGCAGCACTTCCTCTCAGGCTGTGTGCTATTCCCAAACGAGCTTCACCAATCAAATGATTGTGTTTAAGAGAAATCTGCACAGTGTGAGAGGAAGTGCTGCCTGAGGGGCCCGAATCAGGGCAACAAACTCCCCTGAGTTTCCTCTGAGGTTGATAAAAACCTCACTTTTAATTTTAATTGTGAAGTAAGCATAATTATACACATGTATATTTGAACGTGTTGGCTAATTTTGGTAGATATATATATTTTTGATGAGGTTTCTGGTGTATTCCTCTTTTAAAAAGGGACTATATGATGCCATAGATATCTTAATTGATCATAGCTTCAAATTGAAAGCAGACACATAAATATATCTGAGCAGGTAGGAAATAATAATAATCAACAACAGTATAAAGAAGCAAACTATCCCATTCAGCTCATGCTCCTCACTAATGGTGAACTGCATATTAACAAGGAGCTCTTCATTTTGTTGGAAATGGTTTTAATCTATATCTTTATAACAAAGTGTCAGCTTTATGGAAGTTTACAGGAGGTTTCTGCTCATTGTTCAGCCGTCCAACCTGCAACTTTATTGCCGTGGTTCACTGTCATAGTTCTGTTTTTGGCTGCAGCGTTAAAAAGCTTTAAAGACCTCCACAGTTAGAGACTCGCTGGTGAAGTGGTGGAGCATTTAGAAAGCTAATGAGCCAGATATTCTCTTTAGGAGTTAGTATTGGATTTACATTTGCTAACGGGTAAGAATCACAAGTTACTCCAAACCTGCTGAGTGTGCTTATTGCAGGTTTTAAGTCAACTTTTCACTTTGGTTGCTACCGCTAACCCTGTAACCCCCCCCAGACAAAGCTGTTGGGTTTCCATTTACATCCTGAGTTTAACCCGAGCAGAAAACATTACCACTTAGCAATTGAAGCCAGTGCAGAAGAGGCCACTACACGGCCTTTTGTGGCAGCTAACACAGAGCAGCAAATGTCAACGTGATCCCCTGCAACTGTGTCACAACTGCTTTCCATGAACCAGGCACGTACGTCTTCAGATCTGAATGGTCCACATTCTTGCCAACTGCACATGGCTGCTTGTCGGTGAGCGGCTTGAGGCCTGAGTGACCATGTTTTTATGTTATGTAGCAAGTGATATATCCATCCTGCCAGTGTCATTTTCATTTGACAGGGAAGCTGTTATAGTGGTTAATGGTAGCAGTTAACTAAATGGGGTTTTTTTATGTTAACTGGAGATATATTTCTATAAATCCACTTAACAACCTGCACAGCTGTGTCGACTGCATCTGTACTTGCTGCCTGTATTCTGTTATTTTTCTGGCTCTGGAAGATTATATTTCTTTATTATTACTTTTATCATCTCCCCATAAATCTTAACAAATTCAAGGCATCATTATCAGGCATGCTATTTTAATTTTAACCTGAACACAACATCAATAAACATCTGCCTCAAAAATCCAGTTTTAGTACCACAGATACTGTCTCCCTCAAAATGTCCCATCACAACCTTTCACCTCTAAACTTTATTTGTGTATCTTTTATACAAGAAATACTTTTTTTATAGCTAGTTTAGCTGTATTTCAACTGTTTTGCTAATGTTTTGATCATAGTCATGCACCATATTTTGATGGGTGTTTCTAAAAAAAAAAAAATTGTCTTCACTAAGTGACAGAAACTGATGTCCCCAAAGAGATAAATCAGATGTGGTGTAAATGCAGATCTCTATTACACTGGCCAAAGGGGTTTATTTTAAGGTGAGAGTGTTATGAGATGAGCAGCTGACAAAAATAATATGATTTTATAAGAGGGTGTGACGCTCATAACTTTTGTTTTCATGTTTCTGTGCATGTAAACTGCCTGTATTCGTCTATAAACTGGGCCACATTAAGATAACGTTATTATAAAGTGTGTCAGACGTTACTCCACACAGAGCGTCCCTCTCTGCATGTGCTCTTCTCGGGTACACATCGCTGCTAACACGCTAACGGTTCTCCCCAGCTATTAGCCAACTCACAACTGTCACATCGTGCTATAAATAAACACGATTCGTCACCTTAACCTTTAATAAAAAAAATAAATAAAAAAATAGACAACAACATTGAGTTTATGCTACGGTAGCTAATGTTAGCAGCGGCCTTTTGTGAAACTAGGTTTAGCGGCGATATGTTAGCAGTTCCAGCTACCGTTAACTAATCACAACCAGGCACATATGTGGTCCAGACGGAGGAATCATCATCTACGAGGCCTCGGTCAGCGATTCAACCCACATTAGCTCTGTGTAAATATGTCATCGAGTTTAACACACAAATGTTACGGATTTCAGGTATTTTCTGAGTACTGAAAACAACACTTTTTTTTTTTCTCCCTTCGCCTTGTTGGTGTTTACAAAGTGAAGCGGTAAACTAGGCTAAAAAAAAAAAAATCATAATTAAAGCTGTGTATTGTCCAAAAATAACGTCTTTCAGGCTGGAAAAAATATAAACGTTACTCACTGACAGCCGAAGAGATATTATCCACAGTTTGGTGAAGTGTCGACAGGAAGCACAGCTGAGCAGCAGGACGGTGGATTTTAGCATTGTAACGGGAACCAGAAGGATCCTGTCCCTCCCCTCTCCAGCAGAGATGCCATTAAATCCAGACAGAGACCGGATGTGCTGGTTAGCCACAACACAGGGAAAACTTCAAAATAAAAGGTATATTTACAGTGTATAATGTAAAAAATATTTAAATAAAAATAATTAATTGTAATTAATGAATGAATGTAGGTACATATTCATAACTGCCAAGTAGGTTTTACATGTGTTTTGGTGCATAATAAAGATAGAAGAAAAATATAAAGAAAGATAAAAACAAAGCAAGCACTGCAGGCCAGACAGCTTAAATATAAATAGAAAAATTTAACAATAAAATATTTACTTTAAAAATGTATAAATAAATAAAACTATATAAATATAATACAATAAAACAAATATGTACAATGTGCAATATAAATGGAGGATACATAATATGTTTACCTATTAAGTCACTGATTAGGATATGATCTACCTACAACACCCCCAGTGCATAAAAAAAATGAGGTTTACAAGATCTAAAAAGAATTTTTGAAAGAGGTTTTCTTTTTCTTTTTCTTTTATTGAGAGTAATAATTGTGGAGTAATAGTGTTAAATATATATGAAATACTCTAAGTGATATATGAATGTAAGGCCAGGTTTATTTATATAGCACCATTCAGAAACACAGAAATTCAAAGTGCTTTACAGAGGCATTGAAATGCACAGAAAGTAAAACATTAAGATGTCATTAAAATTGCATTCAAAAACAATAAAAAGACATTGGAATGATTAAAAACAGTTAAAATATGACACATTAAAATTGTATGTACAGTATGTATGAAAAGGAAAGGGAGTAAAGCAACATTTTAGGTACCAACAGCCACCAACTGAAAGAAGGATACATAATAATATTAAGATGGGGTTTATTTAATCTTAGTGTGTTGTTAACTTTTTATGTTCACCACAGCAAACATTTTTGAGTTTATTTTGAAGGGCAAATGATACTGCTGGCTTTTTTTATGCAGTTTATTTTCATGCAGCGGGTGAATGAACAGTGGCCAGGCAGCATCACAGGTTTCAGATAAATGGCAGCTTGTCAGTTGTCATTAGTGATGAACACTAAGCTTATAATTCTCTGTTAGGGTTAATTTAAGGGAATTAAATTACCATAATTAATTATTCAGTGTCAATTATAGACTTTGTGGAAGGTATTCTTTTCTATGACGATCCTGTCAGGGTGGACAAAATAATAATAATGTATTTGAACTTTTAGTTTGTTTTTTTCTTTCTTTAAGAGAGGTCAAAATGCGTCAGACCTTTGTTACTTTTGCCTAAAATAATTTGTGTTTAATTAGATTATTGTGCAGCCAATCTGGGACCATGTTATATTCCAGCATAGGGATACAGAAGCCTACACAATTAATGCACAGTGAGAGAAAAAAACCTTCTAGGCTAACTTATGCCCGGGTCCTTGGCCCGAGTCTGGCCCATATACCTCCACATCTGGAATCAAATAGATCAGACGGCTCTGGGTTTGTTGGCTGTTTAATGCCGTCATTGTGAACTAGCTACCAAATGTGTAGTATAGCGCCCCCTCCTGCAGGATATAGGGCCCTGCATGTGTAGAGTCACAGCAGTGTTGGCATTTAAAGTAAAACTGGTGTAATACACGCATTAGTTGATTCGTTGGCTGTAAATTTCTATTATCGATTAGTCAGACTGGCTAAAGTGGCTAGGCTAACGAAGGCTATTTTAGCCCAGAGTCAGAATCGGCAAAGCATCGCACATATCGCAACAACAAAACAGACGACACAAACCTATATATGCATATTTAATCGGGGCCGTGACGGTCTAGTGGTCCACCTGCCGTTGGGAAACGGAATGTGCCGGTGAAACACGAGTGGCACACCGGTAGATATCGGCATAAGCCGCTCAACCACCAGCGACATACGTGTTAGCCACTTCTCGACCCCTGGGTGCATAACACAGCGGTGACGTCACCACAATATATTCTATTTATTCTGTGTTCTTCAATAAAACCCCCATATTGCATTTTGTTTACATCCGTCCCCGAATCATGGCCCAAAATCACTGCAACTGATTCTTCTGACTTCCGGGGATGCGATAAGCGGCATACTATTTACAACTTCCGGACTTCCGGGTCACATATATATACATACATATGCACATACAGGAGAAAAGAAAAAAAAAAAAAAAAATTCTACGCAAATTGGAGCGATGACGGATCGTTTTGTCTTATTTTGTGTTTTTTTATTATCAAAACAAAAAAAAGGGGAAATAGATCCACATTTTTCATTACCGCAGTGTTGTAATTATTCTTCTGTTAAGTGTGATGTTTTTCTGAATGAACGAGATCTCAGAATCCTGAGATAATTATCTTGTTAATTGAAAAAAACTGGATTTTTGGTGAATAATTTTTGGGGGGGGGTTTATCTCAGTTAATGAGATAATTATCTCAAAATTCTGAGATCTCCTTCATTCAGAAAAACAGCCAAATTTTTTTTTCCACAAGTGAATGCATCATGCTTCTGTACAGTCACACTTTCAAATGTCAGTTGAAATATTTGTAACTGCTTGAATATGTTTTCTTTGTACTTCGGTTTTCTCTCTTGTATCTGAGATCCACTTCAATCTCCCTTTCCCCTGTTGTAGAACTTAATTTTTGCACAGTGATACACAATGCATATAAAAATGTTTGTATTATTATCACAAAACTTCACTAATGAAGACGTACAAAAAAAAAAAAAGAAAATACCCAAAAATCACTTTCAATAACTTTTATTTTTTTTCCCTAATAGATCTGTACAATCAGCAAATCAAACTTAAGATGAGCCTAGCAAAAAAACTGATCTGTACATGTTAAATGCTTTTGGGCACAACAGCTTAACACCCATTTAAATAATCAAATGATGACTTGTCTAGCTGTGCAAACACTTAAAAATCAGTCCCACGGCGTGAGAACATCGAGTGACTCGACTGAAAGAGGGGAGGCAGGATGAAGCAGACCAAACCAAACAGAACCAAAAAAAATAATGTTCCCTTTATATCTCTTTCTCTCCAGTGTTATAGAAAAGTACAGTCAAATATCTTATTTACAGAGAAATGAACAAAACTCTAGAGGGTCTCTGGGCAGCGGGGGGGGTGTTGTCTTAGAGAGAGGGGGGTGGGGGTGGGAAATATAGTGGTATGGCATATTTAACCTGGATTTAAAAAAGAAAAGAGAGAGACAGGAGCAGAACAGAAATGATGCACACAAGCCAACAGACAATATGGCTACTGCTCCGATTCCAGCACCAACGTGTGGTTACCTTCTTCGAGTTACACACATCTGTCTAATTTTCTACACATCTGTATTTTATGTTTTCAAGCACAGTCACGCCCCCCCCCCCCCCCCCCTTGCTCTCAGCCGCCCTCAGGCATCTTGATTTACTAAACGATCACCTCATTAACCGTTCCTGAGATACATTATTGAAGTTATGTATTATTGAAGAAGTTTTAAAGTGTTGTTTACCTGTGTTAAGTTTGAAAACAGTTACTTTCCTAGTTCTTAGTTGTGTCATATATAAACACTAAACCCCCCTCCCCTCCCCCACTTTCTGTCCTTCAAATTGTCCAAATAAAAGCTGCCTTATTGCTAGAGTAACATTGACTTCATTTCCACTGAAAAAAAAACTCAATAAAACACATGGATTTAATGTTATTGTGGACACGAATCCCTTTTTTTTTCACTCAGCCCACTTCAGGCTGAATCAAACATTCCCATATCAGAAGTGCAAACACAGGGACGGTCTGACTTCATGACACTGGATAAACATGATTGAGAAAATTCATTTCAACTACAGTGATGAGACACATTAAAAATGCAGATTTAACTGAAAACCGTTACGTTAAACTTTAAAAATGTTGTTGGTGTTTGTAGGATTGTGATGAGGACCCTGTTCTTCAAATGTGGTTCAGTCAGAAACATGACAGGTAAACAGGAAGAAAATCAAGCTGACTTTCAGTTTAAAATGTCCCATATAGTCTAAAGGTCTCTGTCCATGTGTAGTGTGATTATAGATCAGCTCTAGCTTCTATATTAATACTGTGAAAGTATCAAAGCCTCAGTCCACAGAGAAATGCACACAGCCTGTATTCAGAAACTGAGCCTTAAAACCAGCCGTCAGGACTTCTGGAACTTTGTGATGTCACAACAAAGCAGTCACCAAGCCCCGCCCACCTGGACCCACCATCCAATCCTTGCAGGATTTGGTTTCTCTGAGTGTTTTTACCTGAAATCTGCTATATTTTTTTTATTGGATGGCTCAGAAAACAGTCAGCCAATCAGAGGAGAGGCTCAGAGCCTCCTCTCTTCTGATTGGCTCACCGACCTGTTGTTACTAGAGCTCCAGAGAGAAGCCTGAGAGAGGAGATGCAAAACTACACCGAGATAATTTTTGGTTCTTAAAAACACAAATATATCTTCTTATGGATCAACACTTCAAATAAAACACAGGGGAAGTGTTAAATATGGGACCTTTAAATTCACATCACAATCTCTCAACAACCCAACTTCTTTTTCTCCACCCACTGTTCTCTCTTTAGTTCCCTTTAAATCATACATACATCCTTTTGGTCAGATCTTATCAAGCAGTAACTCACTCTCTCCTCCTCTCTGCTTTGGCTACAACAGTCTTGCATTACTTTTAACTGTTTGTGATTATTTTTTATGAGCAACATCTGTGATTTTAGTTCATGTTGGGAGAAAAAAAAAGACATAATTCCTACACTCTTCCCTCAATTACCTAATTTTAAAGGGGGTTTCATCTCATTTCATGTTAACTCCACTCATGACTCTGATGGTGTTTGTCAGTTAAGAACTCCACCTTTGCCACACGGACACACTGACCTGGACAGGAAAACCCAGCGTGAACAACCAGAATAACCAGCGAAGTTAAAACAACTGTTGTCCACATGAGAAGAACAGGATCCTGCTCTGTGCTGCACCACAATACATTTAAACACAGGCTGATGTTTGACAAACGTCACCACAGTTTTAAAAGTGTAGGACAGACGAGCTCATGGGTCGGTTCACAAAGCAGACTAATGACACAAACTGGATCTTGATCAACAGTTAACAGGTCGACACTGAAAACTAAATCTCGTGTGGTGTTTCTTTCCCATGTCAGTGTGAGTTTGTAGTGGTTGAAGACGTCAGAGCTGCACCATAACAGCAGCAGCTTCCTGCCATCGCACTGAGACTCTGATCCAGATCAGATGAATCTTTGGGATCATGATTAAAACAGAGATTAATCACTCTGGTGTCTATGAGACGTACAGTAATCTGACCAACATGAAACGTTAGCTCAGACCTTTAGCAGCTTCGTTTCCCTTCACATTTAGATCTTAATCATTTGTTACCAAGTGTTTTCATAGATTTGATTTTAGATATATACTTACTGAGCACTTTATTAGGAACACCACACTAACACTGGTCATTTCCTCCCTCTGCTCTTAAACAGCCTCAGTTCTTCATGTCACTGATTCCACAAGATGTTGGAAACTCTCCTCTGAGACTCTGCTCCATGTTGACATGATGGTTCCTGTTCTAACATCACAAAGGTGGTCTTACTGGATTCAGGTCTGGAGACTGGGGAGGTCACTGAAGTTCACTGAACTCACTGTCACGTTCATGAAACTTTAGCTTTGTGACACGGAGCATTATCCTGCTGGAAGCAGCCCAACATGGTCGGAAACGATACTCAGGACGGTGACACTCGGACCACGATTGATTGGTATTAAGAAGAAACATTCCCCACACCATCACACCACCACCTTCAGCCTGGGCTGTTGACAGAAGGCAGGTTGGGTCCATGGATTCAAACGCTGACTCTACCAGCTGCTGCCTCAGCACAAATCCAGACCAGGTCTTCACCTGTCCAGTGTTGGTGAGTCCGTGTCCACTGCAGCCTCAGGTTTCTGGTCTTGGCTGACAGGAAGTGGAACCTGACGTGGTATTCTGCTGTTGTAGTCCAGATGTTTGATGTGAACATTAACCGAAGCTCCTGACCTGTATCTGCAGGATCGTATTCACTGCTGATTGGAAGACTGCATGAATGAGCAGGTGTACAGGTGTTCCTAATAAAGTGCTCATTGAGTGTACATATATCATCAGGACAAACATTTGGGGATTTGTAATAAAAATGTAGTGGATCAGTTGTGTCAGTCTTTTAAAAAGAACATTTGTAATTTCAGGATCATGACAGTGCGTGTCAGTGGTATGTTGCCTTGGTGACAGGCTGTCAGAAAAATGCATCTTGGGAAATAGGAGAATTTTGAGAAAGTTCCGATGTGAAAAGTTATTCAACTGCATTTTTTGAAATTCCCGCTTCTTCTTTAACGCAGTGCAAGTCAGTAGAGAAAAGTAGATCCTGGCTGGAGGTGCAACTGCAGCTCTGGATAGAGACACCTCCCCCCCAGGAGAGGTCCAGGAGGGCTGAGCAGACCAGCAGGGTGCTCTGTTCCCCCCCCCCTCTGCTCTTTGAGGTGTTATCGCTCATCAGTCTCTACAGCCTTTCTGCCCCTCCCCCTCCACATTCTATCATAATCTGCTAAATGGACTTGGAGCTACAGACTAAAGGCGGGGCGTCAGTGAAAGACAGGACAGTTTAAAACCAGTGTCTACACAGTCTGATGATCCACAGTCGACGTGCAAAGGCCCAGAGCAAAAATTAAGGTCGGAAGGGGGAGGAAAAAAAAAAAAAAAAAAATATTGGCTGTACCTTTATTTAATTACAATATAGATTTTCTTTTAAAAAATTTTACAAGTACCTCTTCCTGTCCTCCTCCAAGTTCTTTTTGTGTACAAGTATAAGGGGGGAGGTTGTCTTATTTTGAAGCAGTGCTGTTCTTGTAGATTATGCCTGCAAACGATTTTTAATTTCTTTTCAAAAAAGGAAGGGGGGAGGGTCGAGGAGAACAACAACAAAAAAATAAAATAAACAAAAAACAAACAAACAAAACAAACAAACAAAAAAAAAACAAACGAAAAACAATCTTCTTATATCCAGTGGTGGGGCGGGATGGGCTGGGACCACAGCCGGGGCCCGGGCCCAGACTGCTGACCACGAGAGAGAGTAAGGGGGGGGCAGGTGGAGGTTTGGAGGTCAGAGTATGTTACGAGTTCAGAATCCATCCACCCAGGATCCCAGGCCTCTCTCCGCCAGAGTACGGTTCACTGAAATCACCTGGAGGGAGAGACACGTTCACATTACACACAAACACTAATTCTATCAGGACGACAACAGAGTCGTGTCATATTCATATCTACTGCTTTGAGTTTTCATTCACTTTACTTTGCTGTGTAAATGAAATCCAACATTAAAAGACCAGGAGAGGTGGAGATTTTTGTCCTTTGAGGCCGTGGAAGTTTTTTTTATATTTACTCATTTAGCAGAAGCTTTTATCCAAAGTGAGCAACAACATTAAAGCTTCAGTGCAGGAGGAAACCTTGGTCCAAGTACTACATCTGTTCAATAAGTGCAAGGTGGTCAGGTAAGGAAGTATTAGAGGTGTTATTGTACTTTGATTTGGGGAAAGTATTGAGTTTAACTGACTGATTAACACTAAATTAAAAAAATGACAAAGTAGAAACAATGGAGTTAAGATGATTATTTTCTTATTCCTATTTCTTTTAAAAGCAGATGGACTCGATGAGTAAGACATGACGCTGCTGTAGAAACAGACATTATCCTGAAAACATCAAAACAACAGGTAAACCGGGAGGAAGTGATGTTTGTATTCACAGCAAACGACATCAACAGTGAATTATTACAAGAGGATCAGACCACAGACGTCCGAGTACAACATGATTCAATCAGAATATTAGGAACACGGCCGTATTCCCAATATGGGCCTGTTTCAAATAAAGCTGCAGCTGATGTAAAGTAAACAAACTGAATGTATTTCCTGTTTACTTGGCTGAGCTAAATACAGCATCCTCCTTTCAAATCTGCACAGAATGTAACATGAAAACATTTGTTTATTAACACTAAAATGTTTGAACTGATTCCAGTTTTTCAGGCAAATCTTTAATGTCAGAGAAACTAGACACATGTAAAACAGTTATTATAAAGCTGCACCGCATGACTGCTGACATCCTCAACATTGAAACTACCTGTACAGGTGTGTAGGTGTGCAGACAGTGTATACATGTATCATACCTCCTCTCCGACCATGTTCCACAGGTGGACCAGCGGGAGGCCTGTGTTGTTGTCGTAGTTCGATACCTTCACACAAACAGAAAAAGAAAAACAAACAGCCGGTCAGAGATGAGACCTGTCGCTGCGGAGAGGGTTCAGCTGAGGAAGGTGATCTCACCTGTGCGAGCAGCGCCACTCCTCTGGTCATCTCCTCCAACGCCGACGTGGCCTCAGGTGAAAAACGATCCTCTCCTGATGAAAGACGTTTCAAATATGTCAGAACAAAATAGGAACAAAACATCCAACCACATAAAATCTGTTCTTCTCAGACGGATACATTTTGAAGAAAAGAGGCACAAAACGAAACGATTTTAAATTACGCTGTTGTTGAAACAACTGACTCCAAACAGTCAAAGAGCTCTAAACAGTTTAAAATGACTTGTTAACATAAACAATGTTGTACCTGGAAGTGGAGCAATGTTGTCGAGCAGGACTTCTGCACCTTGAAATGGTAGTGTTACAAAATCAGACCTGGAAAATAAAAAAGAAGCAGTTTGTTTAAGACAAATTATGGAAATGTATCTCATGCAGTATTTTCTTATTTTCATCTTTTTTGGAAACCGCGTACCGACTTCATCTTGACACATCAGCATTTTTTTAAGCCTACATGTGCAAAAAGAACCTGCACCACCTACAAGGCTCCATCAGTATGCACATTTAAAATAAATGCTAACTCATAACGCTGCACATGGACCGTCAGCGCCAGAAGCTTCAACTCAGTACAGAACATCAACTTTAATTAATCATCAGTTTGTGCAGAGTCTACCTAACATCTGCAGACAGATGTTTGCTCAGTTCGCTGACAGAGACAGATTGAATAAATCAGAATCTTTAAGATATTTTTAAAGCATATTACAGCTTAAATATTGGACATAAATACTGTAGCTTTAAGAAATTTGTTTGAAATATTCAATATTATGAGTGAAATTATAACATTTTGTGATCAACAGGAAAAATAAATGAGCAATGCATTTCTGCTGGTAGCTCTTTAGTCCAGGACAAGACTAAATGCCAGTTCAAGAAACTGCCTCTAGATGGCAGAACAATAGCCCCCTCCCCTCTACAGTCTACCTGCCCCTTAATTGGCAGGTAAACGCGGCTCAGAAGAACACAGGTGCCTCACTCCTCCCTCCCTCCTGAGAGAAGATACCAGAATCTCTGAACCTGCTCCCGACAGAGTAACACCTTTACCTGTTACCTGCACGTCTCTTCACCACTGTATTTATTGATACGTGCCCGATGTTTTAACACAGTGAGATCTGACACTCGCCTTATCTGCCGTAGTGAGTCGATCTTAACTCTGTCGTAGCCTCCGTAATCGACGTATCTAATCTCCACTTCGTTTGTTTCCTTGTAGAAGGTGATGACCTGAGCTCTCCACCAGGCTCCTTCCACCGCCGGAGCTGCACAGATCACGCCCACTGGAGGACACACAGATGGACAGAACGAGTGTTAAAGCTCCGAGTAGCAGAACAACAACAGACACGCACTTAAAACACCTTTTCCTTAAATGCAACACCGGTGCAGTTTTACTTTTTCTAACTTTCACAAAAGGTGTATTCTATAAATTCCCTCCCCAACAGAAGCTTCATAAGATCGTTACTCAGTCATCATTTACTACACAAAGACTAAAACTGCAGGAAGTGACTGACTTCACCGACTTCTATCCCACCCTGTGACCACAGTTACCTTCAGCAGGTGAGGGCAGGGCGGGGGTGCCCGGCTGGGAGTAGCAGAGGAACATCTGCTGGTCGAGGCTCCGCAGAGCGTGGTAGGTGGGGTGGGTGTGCTGCTGGACGAAGATGTGACCGGCCGACACGATGTTCACCACTATCACTTCAACCGTCACTCCACTGGGGAGCAGGAGCTGAGGAGACACAGGACACGACAGGAACTGTTGAATCTGTACCAACTAAAAGAATCGGTCCTCCTGAGCAGCCGGAGAAGCCCATCCTTACCCAGGAGGTCATGGGAAGCGACGGCAATGTGAGCGGGGGAGGTGGAGGTGCATACAGGTTCGTCAAGTCCAGGTCTTTAAACTTCTTCCCAATCAGCGAGAGGGCCTTGTCGACCTGCTGCTGCGTACCTGCACAGAGACCAAACACAAGGGGTTTCAGCCGGATTCCTACGTGAATCAGTTCCCTCCATCCAACCTCTTCAAAAGACACTAGAAGAAGAAGAAGAAGAGGGGACCTGGTGCAGCCGACTCACCCTCTATATGACAGATCTGGAACTCCTGTGTATAAGGCAGGGTGGAGATGTAGATCTTTGCACCAGAGTTCTGCTTGAGGAAACTCACAAATCTCCCCTGTTTCCCGATTAACCGCCCGACAAGATGCTGGGACAGGAAGAGAGGACAGACAATAACACGTTAAAAAGGGACAGTTGATTTATACAGAAACAAACGTTTAACATTTTACAAACTAACTTTAAGAGCCTGGACACAATTACTTTTAATTCACTATAAATTATTAGTATCTCAGTTTTGTCCTCTGAAAAATGTTGAAATATTTCTGAAATACTAAAAAATACCACTAGTCTCATCTTTTCAGTCTGCAGTCTGTCATTGCAGCTATAAGGGTTAAATTACACTATATACACTGATATATTACATGATTAAACTAGTTTAAAGGTTAGTTTGAGAAACCGGGGAGTTTAGAAAATGCTGGCTTTATATACCTCTGAATACTGGCAAAAACTCAGTTTCAAAATTTGAGAGTCAGTGCATTTGTTAGGGACTGTTTTCACTGGTGGATTAAATGTGATATCCAATATCGCATTTCTATAAGTGCACATTATGTCCTAGTGTGTGAAGTGCATAGTTTTGGTAATAATACAACCATGTTTATACCAAACATCAGCATCTTGTTATTTTGAACACAGGATGTAAAGATACTTGAGCTGATTATCATGTCACACTGATGAGGTGTGGAGGGTTTTACTTGTTGTGTCACTTCCCCTGACTCACCTTTGGCACCTCAATCTCCCAGATGATGAGCTCAGAGCTCAAGGAGGCAGCGTTGTTGCTCTGGCTTTCCCCGACACCCATAGTGCAGCCGCTGTCCACAGAGTCCATACTATTCACATCAGAGCCTGCACACACACACACGCACACACACACAATCACCTTTAGCAGCTGTATTCACATTCGCAGCAACATAAATGTCAAAAGCCCTTCCTTTAGAGGATGACTGTATTAGAAATTGATATTTACATCACATACACTGTAGAAAAATCACTTTTTGTTTCTCTTGACTCTCTGTCTACCTGCCCACTCATGTCCCTCAATAACAACAACAACTAGCTGTCCGAAACACAGCTCGGCTAGAAGGGAAGTCAAGGTTTCTGGCACAACTTCACCTCCTTCCAAGGTGCAAGGTAAAGGTCTAAAGAGTTCAAAACTCCTGTTGCAGTAAACAGAAGAAGTTTATTAGACCGTAGCATTTCGGCTCGTGGCCTCCATCAGTGTTACAGCTAGCCTGACAAAGTTGTAGAAGAAGAGGATAGCTATGTGGACGACATCCTAACGTCCCACAGACAGACAGGACAACGTCATAAAGCAGGTTGAACAAATACTAGAAGCTGAAGGGTTTTCAAGTGGGATGTAGCAAAAATTCAACTAAGAAAAGCAGAGCACTGATACTCCCAAACCAAATGAGGGATGAGCAGAACAAGGCCTGAGGCATCAGGTGTCTGGTAGAGGAGGAGAAGCTCCACATGACCTCATCAACTGTTTAAAGAGGGAGGAAAGAGGCAGCCAGGTCTGGGCCTCCTCAAACCACCAGAAGGAATCTGCTAAGTCAAGCAGCGGGGCTCTATGACCCGATCGGCCTGGTCCTGGCCCACAGAGCAGGTCATTCTGGTCAGTAGAGTATTTCAAGACACTGGGAGTGGGAGTCTGGGGCGAGACACAGGGGGCGGGGGGGCGGGGGGGCGGCAGACCGTTCTCTGAAGGCCTCAGAGAGGAGGCCACGGAGCTGTTGGAGGAGTATTCTGAGCTCGGCCAGATCAGATTCCACAGGAGTGTCACACCAGCTGACCGGAGTGGAGAACCGCGGGGGGAAACATGTTCTCAGACGAAGTGACAACTCTGCTTCTACTGCAAGCCGCTACTGGAACCACGTCACGCCTCGTGCTTGGTGGGGCGGGGCGCCGGGCGTTGTACCTAGGAGCCCGCGTGAACTGCATTTGTTGTGACCATCAACAATTAGCTTCCAGAAGTCCTTGACGGCCTGGTCTTCTAAGCGCCTCACGTTTCTGAATACAGGCTGTGTGCATTTCTCTGTGGACTGAGGCTTTGATACTTTCACAGTATTAATATAGAAGCTAGACCTGATCTATAATCACACTACACATGGACATCTCTATATTTATATATTATATTATCTGTGTACATTAAAGATTTAAATACACCAGATACAGGCTAAGAGATATTTATTAATCACTCCTCAACCGTGTTACAGACCAGATCACCCATAGAGCAGCTGCAGCACACCCAACAACTAGAAGAGCAGCAATTTGAAACTCTCAAAAATCAAGTTTCACTCCGATTATACTCAGCAACACATCAGTCTTACACTAATTCCCAGAATAAACAGAAGGATGTCTCACCTCCAGACTGGTCCGTCTCCTCAAACGTCCCGTGAGCTCCGTTCCTCAGGCCCATCCCGTTGAGCCCCTTTATCTCACACACAGAATCCACTGAGTTTTCTTCAGTCACGGACGAAACCGTCGCCTCTGCGGCGGTCTCGACCAGCGACTGAGGCAGCGCGGCTTCTTTTGTGGACAAGTCTGTTATTTGGATCACATCCATTTGGTTGTCGAACATGCTGTTCTGGAGGTCCTCGCTGCTGATGCCGTCCTCAGAGTGGCACGTGCTGCAGGCTGAGTCCTCGGCCGGCACAGCTCCTTCATCGCCTTTCAGTTTAGCGTTTAGCAGAGGGACACTTGGTGCAGCTTCGTGCGACGCCGTTGGCCAATGGCCTCTCTGTGCATTGTTTGTCTGGTGTGCCCTTTGACTGACCTCAACGGGCTCCCATACTGGAGCAGAGGAGCATCCATTAGGCACTCCTTGCTGTTCTTTCTCCGTTGCCTCTCTAGACTCGCAGCTTGTCTGAGAGGAGCTGGTCAGTAGATGGTGGTGCTGCTGTGCTGCTGTGATTGCTTCCTGTTGGGAGCATAGTCTGCTGCTAGCCAGTGGCGTGCTGCTGCTGCAGGCGGGCTGGCTGTTGTCTGTGACCTGGCACCTGGTGACACCAAGGACCTCCTGGGTGGCCGCTGAGATGACCTCACATATGAGTCCAGCTGCCAGAAGCTCCAGATCCTGCTCCTCTCCACTGCTACCATGTGTCTGGATGCTCTCCGGGGTCGCTGTTGTGGTGGTGGAGTCTTCGACTGTGGTCAAGGCTGTGGAGGTCGGGCCCGGGGTGTTCGGGGTGCTCGTCATTTGTTGGTGGAAATCCTGTGTCGAAGGGGGCGTCTCTAGAGAGTCGGCCTCAGATGGCATCACTCTCTGCACTTTGGCTGGGGTAACTGCACAAACAATCAGCTCATCTTGTGTATTACTGGTACCATGATGCTTTGCAACTTCTCCCTCCGGCTCAGGCCTCTCTGCATCAGAAAGGTAGGCTGTCGCGGGGGAGGAGCTGGAGACTTTGTTAGACTGGCAGGGCACGATGACCTCTTCTACCAAGGCTTCTGGAGCAGGGACTGGATCTTTGATCTGGTGTTTCTCCAGCTCTGTTTCCAAAGCAAGTGATGAGCTTTCCTCTGGGGCTTTATGGTCTTTCGATGACACCTGCGAACTGTCGTCTTTGCCGGGTGACGGCGCAGCCACGTCTGGGGGTTTATGGACATCCTCTCCTCTTGTTCTGCCGAGGGGAGGGGCAGCTTCTTCCGAACGTTGTTCCGGTGAAGGTGCTGCTTCACTGTCCGGCACGTGGATATGGGATATATTTTCATGTTCTGTTCTCTGGTTCGTCACCTTCGGAGGTCTGTGGGCGGGGCGCTCTGTGTCGTTTGTGGGGGATGATACAGTGCCTTTCTCAACCAAACCATTGCTACCCTCTGCAGGAGAACTTCTGAGGCCCACAGGAGTCGGAGCCCCCTCTGGGCTGTCGTGAGTGATGAGCCGCTCTTTCTTCCGCGAGATGTACCAATACCAACCGATCAGCGCGAGTACTCCGGGCAGCGTGTAGGGTACAACAGAGCGAAACCTCAGCGGCATTTCCTCAGGGCACTAGCAGCTACACCTGGAAGAGACAGACAGGTTTGTATTAGTTGAGGGTTGAATACAATCTATGCCAAATACAGGAGACCTGGCCTGGATCTGCCTGTTGACTGCACATCCATCTAAGGATTCAACTTAATTTTACTCTTCACCTGATGAATACTGAAGACAGGTGTAGCATTCAAATATTAAAACTTTATCGGCACAACAGCTGTTAGCAAAGACAACAAGGTCAGTGAAATTTGTTGTCCATGTTACTTTCGCCACTGATAAGACCCAATAAGAGAGCGACCGTGGGTGTCTACGTCATCGTTTCCAAAGATCTCCATTTTTGTCCGTCCACACTACAAAGCAACCCCCGAGTTTTCAAGCTAAAACGGGCCCAGCAGCGTTTCCAAAAGTCTGTTTTAGGTGCTCGAAAAGTCCAGAGTAGTGTGGACACCAGGAGTAAACAAAGCCATATATGAAACCAGTATATTTTTACTTTTGCTTTTAATTCTTTCATTTGATTTTATTCACTTTGATTGTGAAGCACTTTGTGACTAGTTTCTGTAAAGTGCTGTACATAAACTTTGCTTGCTTGAAAAAGAGATGTTTTAAAACTAAAATATGGTAGTGTGAGAACGATTAAAAATCTGTTCCTATCATAAATAAAATCTCTTGAAAATATAACAAACACGTTCCATTTGAATATCCACATGACAACGTGCCAACTCTGTAACTGCTGAGGACATAAAAAGTTTAGAAACTAAAAGTGAGGTTATAGCACCGACAAGACTGAGTCGTCAGTTGGCTCTTAAAACAACAGGAACTCGACAGTAGAATCGTCCTGATTAGGTTTTTATCTACAATCTCAAACCTTATTATTGAGCCAATACCATGTCTAATTTGTCTTCTCGCCTTATATATGGTTATCTGTCTAGAGAGAGAGACAGAGACAGACAGAGAGCAACAGGGAAGCTGGACTTTTGACCTCTATGGCTGCTGGCACTGACACCTGCTCTACGTAATCAGCTGCTTGACCTCTGCAGCACAGTTCTGGGAAATATGTTCAATGTGAAGTGACAAAAGAAAGAGCTGCTTTTTACAGAACAAGAGCAGAACAAGAGAAGAAAAGATGACAGTTAATGTGTGTTTAAAACCATAACCTCACACCCTGCTATGTTCATATGAAGTGACACTGTTTGGAAAACACCCTGGTTTCCTGTTATGTATGTTAAGGTCTGAAAAGTCCACAGTAGTCCATGAGTTCAACAACCAGCTGGGACTCTCCTCTTCAGATGTCAGCATTTAGGCTGAAGGGTGCAAACACATGAATGTACCGAGGCTCAGGCTCTTGTCCTGAATAATAAATAGACTCATTCCCAAAGAGGTGCGAAAGACTACACCATCCACACATCTGACAATTAGATCGGTATTTCAAATTTCAAATAGATAAAATTCCAAATTAGTTTGTGCACAAGTTGTGCATAAGAACAAGTACAGAACAGCTCCTTTGGGTTTAATAAGAATTTAAATGATCTTTAATTGAGGATATATTCTGAGTTTGGCAACACTATCTGACACCACTTAAATCAAGTCATTGTGCCTCTTCTATTATATCACATAGAAGAATTATCAGTGAGAGAAAACTGATCAAGTGGTTGCTGAAAAACACATTTGCACCTAATGCATGTCAGGCAATGTTGATTTCCCCTTTTCTGCTTCATAAAAAACATGTTTTAACACAAGGCGACAGTGTCACAGTCTGTGAGGTAAAGGAAAAACATCAACATTAACGTTATGCCAAAATGTTGTGCCAAAAACTGATATTTACATATTTTCTTTACTGATTTGTGCTAATTTCCTTCAGTGATTGTTGCCACTTGGAAGCCGTTTAGTAATGCATGAAGACAAGTATTAATAAAACAGGGTTTTGCAGCTGTCTGCAGCAACTGTCTCACAACAGGTCAACTCAACTGACACATACAAGTACTGAAAGACATTTCTATATCTGTTGCCAATGCTTGGATAAAATATTAATATTGTGCTGTGTAGTGCAGCCTCAGATTGGTAATCAATCACAGTTAATATTAAGTCACTGTTATTTTTGGTCAAAGCTACTGTATTCATTGAAGTGCTATCAAGCGGTACGTTTAAGGCTGCTCAGACATCAGACAGTTGAGAGAGAAAAAAAACACAACAACAAACAAGTATGGACACAGTGACTGTGTGGATTTGGTAATTTGTTGTGTTAAAGGTTGCTGTTAGATCTCAGAGCGTCCCTGAACGCGTCGACAGAAGTTTGAAAACTCACTGCCTGTTGCTGCGTCACTACAGGCTGATCCCAAAGAACAAGCATTAGCAACGTAGAGATAACGGGCAAACAATTATGACAACTTAACATGCAGTTTAAAATACTGTAGCTTAACTGCTTGACCTCCTAATAGAAGTTCATTTTTGATTTGATTTTTGACAACTCAAAAAGTAATTAATCACAAATCAAAGAATTAAACAAATGATTTGAATGTAATTTAAATAGTCCTCAAATCAGATGCTCTGCCTTCCATTACTCAACAGATTTACAAACTAAATTCAAAGTGTAAAGCACAATAATTCTATAAAACTGACATAACTGGTTTGTTGCGTTTTCAAGTCTCATTTAATTTATAAGGGCTGTAGCCTATAAATGTCTTTATGAGGCAGAGTAAAATGGACCATCCCTGAGCTCCAAGAATATAATCATATCTATGTGAACGAGGGTGAGTAGTATTTGCACTATGCTCACTGCCTAATAAGAAGTCGCGGTTCAGCTTTGCAAAGGAAAATACGACAGGAAACTTCCTCAATGAACTGGTGTGATGAAGAAGGAAGAGGCTGCAACCTGCAACATATAATTTAGGTGAGCAACACCTTTAATCATGCCACTCCTGACATATGAAAAGCCATCTGCACCACAGCCTCTAATTACAGTTGCTTAAAGTATGACGGTGTGCCACCTTTGTGCATTGTTGGTTTACTTCATACACTAGTAGGACCAAAGCTAGTAGATGATCCCTTAACTTCTGTGCACTACATCAAAATCATTTGAGTTTAAATGGGTGCAGGGGTCCTCCTAAACCAGATTTAGTAAAAAACTAGTCCTGTGAGTGTGTTAAAAATGAGTGCAGTAGCTGAAGCCTTCGCCTGCTTTGTTCAACCAACAAGACAATTCAATATCAAATCAACAGCTGCACCTGAACCAAAACAGAAACCTGGTACTGATGAGCCTGTGTGTGTGTGTATGTATGTGCCCATGAAATGGTGGCCCACACTCCATTCACCTTGAACAAGGTTAAAATAGAAGTTACAAGCAGTCAAACAAATCTAGAGCACTCCTCCTTACAGGACAGGCTGCTATATTCCTCTGTGTGCTTTTCCTGACCTTACAGTCGAGATTCAGACATGTGACCTTGGAGGGTTCAGATAGAGGAGTGGTCAGGCTGTATTTACATGTTTGAAACCTTTGCAACATGCTGAGTGCAGGCAACCTAAGCAGCTTGCACATTGACACTTCCTCAGTCTACCATTCATACTACTCAATAAAAAAAAAAAAGAAAACTCAGTTTCTACCAATCCTGCATGCTTTTGTACACAACTGTTCATTTAGCAGCACACCCACGTCCCTGATTGCACATGATTTATGATTTAACATTATCAGCAACATGTCAACCACTTGTCAGTTAAATCTAATATTATATGGTGCTGTATACCTGTGAAACTTCACTTTGTCGTCATTACTCGTGCTCCTACAGGCGTGTGGTGTTCACCGGAAAACCACATGCTTAAGGGTGACATTTTACAACCATTAACACCAATGTGGGGAATTGCCTGTTAAACCGAACTGTAGTCTGGCCCTTGCTGCAGAATAATTCATGTAGTAATATCATTAAAGGCTTTATGGAGTCTGTGTCTACCGATAACGCCTCGGTAACATGTCTAGTGTTTTTGCACGTCCGCCCCATAGGTGGGACAAAAGAAAAGGGAAAAGGTACAGGCGGCTACCACCGCCACAGTCAAGTTTCAACTTAATGTTAGCTACAACAACATGCTAATCCTTCAATGGAGTTGACAGAGGATCCAAAGCCCGGCGAAAATCGTATTATTGCCCTTTACAATCCCATGACACGACGAGAAACTGCACCTCGACTTTCCCGGGTTGTCTTATCACACACGAGGGGTCACGATCCCAACTTTCAGGGACGACTTTAGCTAGCTTTTCTTTTTTTTTTTTTTAAGCAAGCTACGTGCTGATAATAATAGACACAATGAGACTATTTGTAGCTCGCGGTGATTAATCCCGTCGGCGTTGTCTCGTGCCGTGCGTGTAGCTCCAATACTATATTTTTAAAAAATAACCGTCGTGTTACACGAGCGACCGTTCCGTCACAACACACACCGGCTAATGGTATTAGCTAGCCAGCCAGCCAAGTATGAAGACCACAACGTGACACTGCACTAAGAATCCGGGCAGTTTAATGTTTCCTTGCAGTGGAGTGGGATGGCTTATAAAATAAGACTTCATTACGTTTCCCCTCCTAACATAAACCCCTCTCTTTACCTTCATACACCTCAACTGCAAAATTTGGTGCCTTAGCTAACACGCTGAAACACATCTTTCAGAGATAACAAACAAAACTGGTGCACGGCGAGTTGTAACTGGGAATGGGAATAATTTATAGAAAGTGAAACTTAATATGAGCCGCTGGGTATCTAATTTGAGTGCCGAATTAATCAGTATGGATCTGATATCCAAATAAGAAGTTATGTCAAGTAATAAAATTCAAAGCGTTTTCCCAATACGGTGGCAAGAGTTAAATGGCAGATATATGAAGGGAGTTTTGCGTAACATTTGTGTGGAATGAAATCCGGTGTAAGAGGTGGCTGTGACCTAACGCTAATGTTACTACTGGGAATAAAGCATGGCTGAATGGGAGGCCGCAGTGCAGGAGAGCGAGTATTTAGTTAACAGGCGATATGGGTTATAATGATAAAAACGTCTATGAACATAAACATGGATTAAAATGTCAGGACGGCTAAGCGCACGTTCCCTTCACTGCATTATTTTTGGCCCAGTGACCATGACCGTTGGTTGGTGGGTTACACGATTAAAAGCCTCGTGTTTGAGACGACTTCAGAGTTTCATTTCAACCCACTGACCACCGCGTTAGGCCACAACATAAAGGCATTGCATAACGCAGCTTTAAACGCAACCAAATGCACCACCGAGGGCAAGTGCCAGACTGACGCAGGGTTAAAGGACATTTTAAGCCAAGAGAGTGGCTCCTGTCCTGTCCTGGGCCTCAGACCTCCCCACGTTAGCTTGCTAGCCGGCCCGGGGGAGAAATGATAGCCACCTGTATTCACACTGCTGACAGCCTATAAGCATTTGTTACTAATCAAGACACATGACCGTGCTGTTTGTAAGAGAATACTGACGCCAGGAGAGAGGGAATTGGGGTAATTTAAGTTACACAACAGGGGCAGAAGCTAGCTGGAGTGTGCTGCCTGTTAAGTTACAGAAAGATGTGTTAGGCTAGTTGTTCAATGACATGGGATTAATGCACTCATGTGGTGACACAGTCTGCTGCAGACAGCTCGCACAGACGCGTGGAAATGTCATTAAATGGGTGTTTTACACTGTGCGTGTGTTACACCCCTGTGTAGTGGATTTGAACTACTAAGTCATACTGTGAGAGCATGATGCAGACGGCTACAGGCTAGCATGCTCTTTCCCCCTCAGTTGCTAAACGCGCTCTCTCCTCTCCGGACTTGTTCCGTTTACTTACAGTGTTTTAGGTTCCTCGGTGCCGCCACGATGAGAGCGATACTAATAGCGTGGGTTTTGTCAAACGTTGTCCCCCGTGGAAAGTCAACCTCTCCTCCCCACGTGTTGACCGACTAGCATCAGTCTTAAAAAACAGACTAAACAGCTGGTCAAATCTCGCGATACCTCGACGTTCAGGACGTCAGTGGTCTCGCGTGAACTGGGAATGCAGTAAAGGTTTTTGCGTTTATCTGATGGCAGTTTTACATGTTGGTCTCATGTCTTGAATGAACATTTAAAGTTAAAGCCATGACGCCAGTCTTACTCATTGATTGGAACCAGTGACATATCATTTCAGCATGGTATATAAATATGAACTGAATGTAGTCAGATTAACATGAGGCTGCAGCAGCACAAGGTCAAACATGCAGAAAGCAGGAAAATAACTGTAATAAATGTAATATGTCAATCATATTTTATGCACAAAATCAAGATACAACAACACATAATTAAATAGTCAATTTTAAGTTGTTGAGGAGATTGATATCTAAATTTAATCACTCTACTATAACTGTTTCCCTCTTGTGGTGAAGCAGAAAAGTTTATTCAATTCAGTTTATTTATATGGCACCAAATTATAACATAGCCCACATTATCTTATGGTGCTTTTACAGTATCATACAGAGAAACACAACAGTTCCAATCATGAGAAAGCACTTGGTGACAGTGGAGAGAAAGTGGGGACTACCAGTGACCCAGATAGAAGCTGACTCTCGGGGTGTTTTGTTGAGTTGTGCCTGTTTGCCAAGAACTGAAGTGGACAATAATAATTTCTAAGGCAAAGTACGACGTGGAAACAATGCAATTTTCTTTGTCGGCTTTATCAATGATGATAAGTTATCTGACTGAGAAGTAGGAGTCTTGATATCAGAGCATGTCTGAAGACTTTTTTTCTGTTCTTCCATGTGTTTTCAGGCAGAGCATTTGGTCTTTCCTGCCTCAATAAACTGTTAAACTGTCCGCTGCTTTCAAATGGTTAAACGTGTGGTCACCCACTCACTCCCCCCAGGCTCTACCTGATAAGAACATGTTAATGCATTTTTATTAAAGCTTCACTTCATGTAATTGAATTGACTGAATCGTCCATGTCTGTTTCATATGAAGAAAAGAATTTTAGTCAAGGCCAGTTGGTGCAAAAACAAGTTTATTAGTAACAGTGAAAAAAGAACCAGCTATTTATTTTGTATGTGAATGGACTGCACTTATATTCTGTATCAACCACTCAAAGCACTTTACACTGCAAGTCACATTCACCCATTCATTCACATTCATACACACCAATGATACATCGGGGACAATTTGGGGTTCAGTATCCTGCCCAGTGACACTTGGTGACCTCTGACCTTCTGATTTGTGGACGATTCTACCTCCAGTGTGGAGGACTGAGATCACAAGTGGCAATAATGAGTTATCTTTGCATGGTTGCTGGGCTCACCCCATGCACACACGCACACACACACACACACACGCACACGCACATACACACACCGTAGTTCCTTACATTTAATTCTCTTTGGTTGCTCTCCAAGTCCCCTCCATCCTCACTGTGCAGTCCACACACGTCATTTTTTCTCCATAATAATTCAAATAAAACATGAAACTTCACATAGCACCAAATATGACTGCATGAGCTTGTTGCTTCCATGTGACATTACTGGATGAAGTGTGGAAACAAAAAAATAATAATGATACAGTTCAGTTAATTCATCTATTCTTGCTTAAATACATTTATATTGCATATAATACTAAAGATAATACAGCACAGTATAAAATTATTAAGGCTGAGCAATATTTATTTCAACTATGATTTTAGATTATATTATGGAAGTAGAAAAAAATACCCAATTTTGGTAGGTAATCATGACGGAGCTTAATTTACAACTATCAACATGTTAAAAAAAACTATTGAGCTCAAACAATGATTAGATTGATACACAGGAAATAAATGCTTTGGACTCCAACAACAAGAAGAACAAAAACTGCTTTCATCCAGTGTACAGATATAATGATCCCATGATTATCACTGAAAAACTTTAATTCATTTTCACTCTCTCAGGCACAATACTTCACACTTTATCCTCCAGTGCAACAGTTTGTCCTCAGGTTTTTTTTTTTGGCTAATAGAGGAATGTAAACACTGTTTGTATTTGCACATCCGCCTTAAAACATTTCTGTCTTGCAGGAATATGAAATGTACAGTATCTGCTGCTGAGTGTGGCTCAGTGTGTTTGCCCTCCTTCATGACTGATCTGGCTTTGTGTGCAAGAAGTTAAGTTCTGGTGTCTGAGGTAAAACAGGTGTATGTTGGTTTCTAAGACGACTCCTCACTGCTGTGCATCGTCAGTCGCTGCCCTCCACGGCTGCTGGCAGGATAACAGATCAGGATTTATGCTCTGTCCTTTTTTCTTTTTTTTTTTAGCAGCAATGTGTTGAAATGAAATGAAACAAATTCCCACATGACAGAGGTTGTTTTTTTGTTTTTTTTTTGTGCATAGAAAGAAAGGGGCCTTTAGTTTTCAGAAGACGAGCCAAATGAAACCTATCGCTCAGACTTGACCTTGTAGCGGAGGACAAGGTAAGTGGCCAGTCGTAGGATGATGAAGAAAATGCCGAGCACAATGAAATCCATGTAGAGCTTTGCGTCCTCCACGTCCAACAGCTGCAGGACCTCCTCAGGCTGCTGGAACTTACACACCTTCCCCGGACACTCCAGCTCTGAACGGTTCATCCCGTAGATGGACAGAATCACCCCTTCGAACCCGTACCTGTGGCAGAGAAACAAACACTGAGGAAAATTCATGACTGGAAGTCATGTATGTGCTCCTGATTCTGAGTAAAAACAGATCAAACTTTAAACAAGCAGCACGCTGATGATTTTGGTGCTCTTATGAAAATCACCAACATGGTGCTCAAGGGACGTCCATGAGGTCCCTAAGATCAATAGGGTTAATGGTGCGTTCAATTTGAACTGGGAAGTTGGAAATTTCAACTGGAACATCCCTTGATGTCAGATTTCCAACCCGGAGAGTTGGACGAATCTCAGCAACCCTGACCTCAAAATCCAAGATGGCTGCTCCAAGCTATAGTAATATACTGTTTATATATCCATATTTTCTTCTTCTTCTGTGTTTTATTTGAAGTGTTGAGCCATAAGAAAACATATTTGTGGTTTTAAGAGCCAAAACCATCTCAGTGTAGTTTCACATCTCCTCTCTCAGGCTTCTCTCTGGAGCTCTAGTAACAACAGGTCGGTGAGCCAATCAGAAGAGAGGAGGCTCTGAGCCTCTCTTTTGATTGGCTGACTGTTTTTTGGAGTGATCCAATAAAAAATATAGCAGATTTCAGGTAAAACACTCAGAGAAACCAAATCCTGCAAGGTTTGGATGGTGGGTCCAGGTGGGCGGGGCTTGGGAGGGCGATTGTGACATCACAAAGTTACAGGAAGTCCTGACGGCTGGTTTTAAGGCTCAGTTTCTGAATACAGGCCGTGTGCATTTCTCTGTGGACTGAGGCTTTGATACTTTCACAGTATTAATATAGAAGCTAGACCTGATCTATAATCACACTACACATGGACACAGACCTTTACACTGTATGGATTTTACCACTTTTGTCTTCCAACTTCTATCTGTGGACATGTTGCCATGGTTGTATAATGATGTTTTAACCTGAAGGTTTGTCTTGATGAAAAGTCATGGAGTGTCCAAAACACTGAGGGTTCATCATATGGGTAAGATGAACTTATTGGACAATGGAGGAAAGGTCAGACCCCCCCCCCCAAAAAAAATTGGATTCATCCTCTAGGGACCATGAATATTCACAGCAAATTCCATCAAAATTCATCCATTACCTTTGGACAATGTTTGCAAAGAGGAGTGGTTCAGAACTACTTTAAAGCCAACTTAGATTTATCACAATCTACTCAGTAATCCCTGACTGCACAGGAAAAGTGTGTGTGCACAACTGCAGTAAGGACAGGAGGGTCAAAGCTGAATGAGTCAGTCGCTCTATAAATCTGGAGCTTTGTTAAAAACCAGACCACTTGTTTTTTTACCCATTTCAATTCTTCTTAAGGACGTTGCTGCGTTCACAAATATAAAAGAATAACTTAGTGAGAATAGAAACAACGACTGAACTTGGTTGTAATAACTTGGGATTATAGTTTAAGATATTTAGCTCTGGACAGATCGACAACCAGCATCGCCATCTTTATGCCTCATTGAAACGAACCAAAAAGCATTAAATTATTATTAAATAAATGTACACAGTTAAGTCATTGGTGAACTGAAGTAGCTACAGTTTTTTTGCTGAGTGGCTGTGATGTTATTCACGGAGGTACACACCTGACATACGACACATAGGAGCTCCACTGCAGATACTTGGGGATGGTGTCGAAGTTCACGAAGAATCCAGAGAACAGCAGCACTGGGATAGCCGTGACAGGTCCTACAAATGTGGCTACCTGTTTAACATAAGGATGCAGATAATGTGTTTCATATGTGGAACACAAGCAAAGGAATCTTGTATTTAACAATGCAAACCTAGCAGTACCTGTAGTGAGGTGGACGCGGCCCCAACCAGCAGGCCTAGCGACTGGGCTACCAGGGCGGTGCAGGTGGACAGGGCGATGAAGAGCAGGTAGCGGCTGGCCTCAGGAGGCTGCTCTGTCATCCAGTACACTATGCTGCAGTACATGATGGGGCAGATAACCTAAAATAACACTTTGATTAACCTTTATTTAGTCACAGAAAACCTTCATCTCATGTGACCTAATACTGACGTCAGAGGAAACACGGTGGGTTCAGATCGATCACAAACAACTGAAGTTCATTGATAGATTTTTATTTATTGACAATAAAAGCATGTTAGGAAAATTTCTTTAAATGTTTCTGAGCCACATGAATGATTGTACAAAAGAGGGAAATGTCCTCTACGATAAAACCCACACAGAAATGTAAAATATGACATATATGCCTTTATCTCAAGAGTGATGCTGCCACATATGTCACCTATATAATCATACATGTACATGCTCTGGATATATGAAGATATAAGTTTATAACATAGTGTATATGAAATACCCATAGTAAAAGGTGGATATGTACATTTATTAAAAATATCTACATGATGATTTTTTATATGGTGTGACATGTTCTGACCAAATTTATTAATGATATATATTTAATTTGCATATGCAAGTTTATTAAAACAACATACATACACCAATTCTATGTTTTTATCATTAATTCTTATCAATTTTAAACATGTCTCTGTTTTATATTTACATATATAATATCATCATATACTGACAGGCTTTGGGATGGATATATATTTATATTACTTATATATAACATATGTCTACAATATAAGCATACATACATAAACATACATATTTGTATGGGCTAGACATATATGTCAATACATGAAATTGTTCTAACTTGTAGCATATGTACATATATTACATTTGCGTATGGGGTCGTGTGATTATAAATGACACATCAATAAATATGATGATAGCAAAAAAAAGTGTAATTTAAAACCCTTTAAAATTCATTTTAAAATTTAATTTAATGTCATTTAATTTCTTACATGTTCTATATGAAAATTTTACCTCATATGTACATATATATGTATATATATACATGTATATATATACATATATATGCGTATGGGTAAATACACAGTAAGTTTCTGTTTTTATCTCGTCATAGATAGATAGATAGATAGATAGATAGAAAGATAGATGAACTGTAACAACTTTAACTAACACTGGAGAGCAGTGGTGCTCTGTGTAGTTGTGTTTTGCCAGCTCACCTGAAAGGGGATGTCCGCCATGGTCTTGGCCAGGTAGTAGGCCTTCAGGCTGTACCAGTAGTTAAGATGCTCCCTCAGGAACACAGACATCTCCAGAGGAACTGACACATGGTGCAGAAAAACATTTACATACATCGGTCAACTTTTGAGATTCTGAAAGGAATGGACGTGGCTCATTGGCACAGCAGGATCAACAATAAACATCATGAGTCAATTCCCTCCACCAGGTCATACTCACAGGTTAACACGGTTGGCATGAGCGCACCGAACATGATGAAAAGCATGGAGAAGAAGAGGAAGCCGGTGTTGTTAAAGACTTTGCTGGCATCATTGCCAATGTTCAGATAGAGCAAACCTATTAACACACCTATGGAGATGTGGGACATCAGTCTGAGGTGGGTCAAAACCTGACAACAGAACAAAAGCAGAAAAAAATATAAAAACCAAAATCACAGACGTGGGTGATTAAATAAAATTTCAAGATCAGTAAATGTGGGAGAGATACTTTTCCTTTTACACATTTTAAAACCAGTAAACAGCCACAAGACTTGTCCTGTGATGTTTTAACAAGTCGTCACCCACCTGGTCTCGGCATATTGTTATGAAGGTTCTCTTGAAGAGGATACAAAACTGTGTTAGCGTGCTTGTGGCAAAAGTATGACTCTCTATGTGTCCAGCGTCCTGTGGGAAGCAGAAGCAGATGATCAGTGAAAAAACGTGTCCAATAATCATCACAGTAAGTCACTTCACAAAACACCACAGCACAGCTACAGTCAGGGCTGGATTAGACCACATCATCTACTACCCACCTTGGGGTATTTCCCTGCACAGACAGATGTGCCATTGTTACCACACTGGTTCTTCTTCTCCTCTAATGCGCACATTCCACCTTGGACCGCCTCGAACAGCACCGGGTTCAGGTCTCCGTACTCTCCTGACGCCACTTCAATGACTGAAGCAAAGACAAAAAAAACCCCAAAACATAACGATCGTCCTCAGGGAAACTAACTGTGGCACATACGTGAATAAATGTGAGGTGAACGCACCGAAGTCTGCAGGATTGTGGTAGGTGGGACAGTACAGGCCCAGGCTCTTCAGGTAGGGGATGAGGTACGGGACTGTGCCTTTGTAGATGCACTGTCCCTGACTGAGGATGTAAAGCTGTGGAAGGACGAGATTACTCAAGACCGACGTGTAAATGACTTTTCGAAAAAAAGAAAAAAAAACCTTTTCCTACAGCGTCCCGTAAAAATAAAACCCTTCGATCGGCAGGTGCATACCTTGTCAAACATCTCAAAGAGTTTGGCACTAGGTTGGTGGATGGTGCAGATGATGGTCCGTCCTCCCAGCGCCAGAGAACGCATTAGTGAGACCACCTGATAGCACGACGCACTGTCTAAGCCACTGAACAGAGAGAGAGAGAGAGAGAGAGAGAGAGAGAGCAGACACTGTTAATGAGCAGCTAGAGAGAAACATGAGAAGACAAAGACGAGTAAGGATCAAGATATTATGACAGTTGTTCTCATGTTTAGTTCAGTGATGGCTACACCTCGGGATTGGTTTCTGGTTCAATCTCTGCTTTTACAGGGGAACTCTGCAGACATCACACACTGTCATACGTTCTAAATGTTTTTAAAAAAATTTAAATTAAACCCTCATCTGCACACTTGTGCCTCTGCGACTCACCTGGTGGGCTCATCGAAGAACATGACCGGAGGGTTGTTGACCAGTTCGAGGGCGATGGCCAGACGTTTACACTGACCTCCCGACAGCGAGCTGGTGCGGGTGTGAGCACAGTCGAGGAGCCCCAAGGCGGTCAGGATCTCGTTCACCTGGGCAGGTAACAGGAGAGTGTTTGAGGTCGGGATTATTGCTGTGTTTATGTGAAGCTAGCAGATGTTTGTTTATCTCACCAGAGCTTTCTTAACATCCACACTTTCATCCAGCTTCAAGTTCGCTGAAACCTGCAGGAAAGAGAAACACACACAGTCGTTTAAATCAACAGGTTTTTACAGGACAGTCAATCCCGCACATTTTGATTTATGTCAAATATAAAAATAAATGACAGTTTTTTGAAGTTCTCACTATAATAATCATACAGAAGTTTCAAAATAAAAGCACACTTTGAGCATGAGTCGGAGTGCTCCTCACCATCATGGCCTCCCGTGCAGTGAGGTGTGGCAGCAGCATGTCTTCCTGCATGATGTAGCACGACATTTTCCTGAATTTCCTCAGGTCCCTGGGTTTACCATTGACCAGGATCTGACCCTTCATCCCTGTTTCCCTGGGCAACAGGAAGGACACACACACACACACACACACACACACACACACACACACACACACACACACACACACAACACAAACACACGAGCTTCTTCTCTAGTTGTGTGACACATGAATTTCTTCCATAGACGCCTGATGACAGCTGATTTCCTCTAATCGTGCTGTGAACCTGTGTTTTACTCTCTCACCTGTATCCAGCCAGAATGTTCATTAAGGTGGACTTCCCGGCCCCTGAGGGCCCCATGATACCGATCAGCTCCCGATTGCAGAACCTCCCGGACAGGCACTTCAGTAAGGCTTTGAAACCTGACGACAACAGAGGGGGGGGGCAATGATGATGCTGTCTGTCACGAAAAAACAGCATCACACACGTCAACAATGACGAGGTAACACAGGCTCCTCTGTTTGTTTTAATATCCAGCTTCTTCAAACAAACAACTAAAATTCAAAATGATAAGATCTGTAGTAACTAATATTTTTTGGCCACTGAAACAAATGAGACGAGTGAACATGACATCGACAGCTGAAGAAACGACAAACTCAGTAGTTCCTCCGAGTCTTTGAGAGCATTTCCACGTCTACTTTTAGAATCAGAAACAACTAGAGATCACACACATACACACACACACACACACACACACACACACACACACACAACACAGCACACACACAATACACACACACACACACACACACACACACACATTGTCGCTGCAGGTTTAAATACCCACAGTACTCAGGTCTGTCCAACACAATTAGTGGATACTTTACTGTAATATCAACAACCATCTTGCCATAAATGATAAATAAAATAAACAAGGTGACTGGTTAACTGGTTAAAAAGTCAATCACTTTGATCTTTATTGACCAAAATACACATGGTAGCACACGCGTAACTACTGTATTTGTATGTTACTGTCTACTGACTCCACTGTGCAGTGTTCATTGATCCTGTGTGAAATCCATGGACACAGATGGATCCTGGGGAGGGCGGCGTATCAGCCCTGGTGACTAACAACCATTTCTGCCCAACATCCAACAACTGGAGCAAAAAAGACAAAGAGGAAACAAATCAGCCCTGCTCCCTCCGCTCTCCCCTCTGCATCCGTGTGTGACAAGAGAGATCAATGAGAGAGTATGGAGAACTACAGTAACTCAGTGAGCATCAGCTCAGCTCTCACTGCTGGAGGCCTCCACAGTCAGTCGTGTGCTGATGTGCTACTGGTTTAGTTTAATGGTGTTGCTGGGCAGAAAGAAAAAAAAGCCCAGTAACAGGATTTTTTCTCACTCTGAGAACAGAGTCGTATTTATTGTTCATCTGTTATTGTTTGGTTACTGCAGACTGTACAATATTAATAAATAACATCTAAAATAACAAATATATTCCCAGATCAGAATTGTTGGTCTGATCTGGTCGTATTTTCTGCAGCAGTCTGAACCATGAAACAAACTACACAAAGGCATCCGCCATGGACAGAAAAGACTGAGTTGTACCAATGTTACACAGGTAAAAGAAAGGTCTTGGTAATGTTTTTAATGTGGTGATTAAAAAAAGAGGACAGCATCAGACGTAACACCCACGTTCTTGGCAGTCAGAGTTTGAGAAATCACACAGGTGTCGCGGGTTATAGGAAGATACAGTTCAGTGTCGTCAGCGTAACAGGAAATTAATTCCATGACAGTGAATGATTTCTGCCAAGAGGTGAAGTATAAATGGAGAAAGGCGGATGATCAGAACAATGTTCGTTTTAATGTTGGAAACACAGATAAGTAAGAGTTTAATCATGCGAGAGCCAGGCCAGAGACACCATATTGGTCGGTGTCGGAGTATGCAGCAGTCTCTGATATCAAAGGCTGCACTGAGATCGAGTAAGAGAGGCACAGAGGTGGAATCTGAATCTATAGAAGGCAGAAGATCATTTATCACTTTAGTAAGTGCAGTTTAAGTAGAGTGACAGGCCCTGAAGGCAGAGTGAAAAGGGTTCAGAAAGATTACTGTTAGATATGTGGGATGAAAGCTGCTGGGATACAACTGTCTACTACTTTTGAAGAATGGGAAACTGTGCTCCAATATACAGCTCGGCTATGGTCTGCAGAAAGAGCGGGACGTGAGGAACACATTTTGAATCTAATATCGTGTATTTTACTGCAGAAAACGTCTAAGAAATCATGAGCTGTAAAGGACAAGCAGTAGTTTAACCACAGTGTCAAACAGAAATTATTATTATTATCATTACCCCTTCACAAGCTGATTAAAATAGACGTGACAGGGAGGTGTGTGTTACCTCTCCTCCTCCAGCACGGGCCCTCTTGGATGGTGTAGGAGAGGTCGATGAACTCCAGGTCCACGGCCGAGCGTTTGGGTAGGTGGGAGAAACGCTGCGCTTCGGTGATCTCGTTCTCCACCTTCTTCAGGTGGGTCAGCATGGACGGCTCCTGCTGCTGCTGCTGCTGCTGCTGCTGCTGAGGCTGAAGCTGTCCGTCTCCGTTACACATGATGGCCTCCTCCATGGGGATGCTCACAGAGTCAGGTTCCAGCGCCTTATTGTCCATCCCAGCTCTGTGTCTGTGGGAGGATGGGGAAGGTTAAAAGGTAGAGAAGAGGAGGTCAGTCATGCTTAATTATCTGCTGGCATGTCTAATTTTACAGCCGCAGCTGGGGATAGCAGTTTTGGAGGTCATTTAATAAACATTCTCCATCCACACTGAGACAACAAAACAGCAGGACACCCGAGACAGTCTGTGGACTCTTTAATACCAGAAAAAGAAATATTAACTTCATGCTTTTCGATGCATTGTTCCTTTCTCACACAGCCACCACAGATCATGAGTGAATTTGACAGTGAGTAGAAATGCTTTTGAAAGGTTTCATAGCTCCAGTGTTGGTATGGTGACAAGGCCAAAACAAAGAGACGAGGACAGGTGTTCAATGCTCAAACACGCACATGAATCATTAATAATGATGATGTGTTTTATTTGGAAAAGTGTTGTAGTCACAGCTACAGCTGGAACAAACTGAGGTCAGCGTGAATTCTAAAACACAAAATGTGAAGGAGTGATGAACTTTGATTGTTTATTCCAGACTAGATTTGAAATGCAGCAGTGAGTGAAGTGCAGATGTTCACCTCTCTGATTATTTGGGGTGTAACGTTTCTGAAACTGAGACCAAAACTACGATACCAACGTCCATGAGACATTCAAGATCAATGGGCCAGGTTGGAATTAATAGTTTTTAACAAAGCAGCTGATAAGTCGGTCCATCACTTTGGTCCAAACTGATCAGCAACTACTGGATGAGCTGCTGTGAAATGACAGATTCTGAGATTAGTAGTTCCCAGACGATGCGCTCCACTGACCTTGGTGCTATTCCTTTCTTTTCAGGGATGGATGGATGGATGGATGGATGGATGGATGGATGGATGGATGGATGGATGGATGGATTGCCATAAAATTTGTTTCAGACATTCATGTTTCCCATGGCATCAATTCTAATAAAATTTGAATTTGTCAAATATCAAATACTTCCAAAAAAAATGGCATTCCTATCAAGCTCAGTTAGTACTTTGTGTTTAGTGCTAATTAGCAAATGCTAATATGCTAACAAGCTAAACTTAGATACAGAACAGAGAACACATTTTATTACACATTAAATCTCAGCATGTTAGTATGGTGACATTAGCATTTCGCTAACTACAGCCTCACTGCTAGCAGTAGACTAGTCCTAGTCTTGTTATTCAGTCCTCTTTTAGGACAGTGAACCTCTTGTAGATACAGTCAGTGGCCTGTGAGCATTTTGCACTTTACTGTGAATATTTTACGGCTGTGTTTGGTTGCATTACAGTTGCATTTTGCTTTTAGATTTTTAAATTTTCTGCGTTTTGTGCAAAATGAAAAAGTGTCTAAAAACAGGCGGATGGAAACCCACCCAATGATTCAGTTAGTGGCACTGCTGATGCAATACATTCAGTTCAGCTTGTACATGTGCAAAACACATCTACTAGTTATACTTCATTGCGAGTCCAGCTTCAATGGAAATTTATATACCTTTCCTGGGAAAAGATAGTTTAGGCGTGACCACCGTCAGACAAAATCCAAGACCGTCTAAGCAGCAGAAATATGCAATCCTTCCTGTGATCGCAAGGTGATTAATGATCATCGAAATGGAGATACATCTAATCTACTTTGTTCCGCGCAGACCACTGTAAAAACGGTTCCCAAGTCTGAGGTGGTACAGTAATTTGTCCTTTTTGAGACAGAAGTCTCATTTAATCACTCATGGGGTTCATAATCTCCTTGGGGATTAAAATCAACTTTCTTTTCTACCCTTGATCTGCTCGGAGCAGGAGGGGGATGGAGTTACCGGCTTGGGAAAAAACTCTGCAGACTCAGGTACACTACCAAGCACAGAGCCAAGTTAATGTATGGGAAATGCCTGCTCCTTCACTTGCCCTCCAGATCACACCTCCACACAGGCACATTTCACTGCCAGCGTGGAGGGAGAAGCCAAAGAAAAGTCTTTCGTCGACGCCAAAAGGTGTTCATAAGAAGGCAGCGAAACGGAGAGACGTGTTATGAATGCCAACGCGTCACGAGTCAACTACACTGTTCTGAATGAGAGGGAAGGTCCACAGAGGGGAGAGAGGAGAGGCAGAGAACTCAGTGACCTGGGATCACACCACTTCAGATTATCTACAGTGTTGTATCTGACTCTAAGACTTGATGCTCCAAATGCAGCTTGATTAAAGGCTCATTAGAATCACATAAAGTGGTCAGGTCCACACGGCTAAACGGGGACATCAAAGTGATGATAAAACATCATGGCACTTGCCTGATTCAACTGGAATGAACTCAGATGAAAAGTCTAATCTGAAGATTTCGTGTACCATAGATCTCTCTCCGAACGTTAGCGTAAAAAATACACACTCTACTATGCACGTGTTCTCTGGTGAGACTATCCTCCTGTATCAAATGACGCCTTAGGTCGTCTCTACAAGCCGCTTATAACGACCCATAGCTATGTTTTACCGTGACAGGAGTAAAGGAGGAAGTTAGGTCGGAGAGGTCGACAAAAAACTTTCAAACAGAATATCGCTGTTCATTTCCTGTTCGGATCCATGACCACTCCACAACCTTAACTGTGTGTTTATTATTGTAACCGTGATGACACAGGTCCTCTAACTTTAAGGACTTATTTTAACCCAAACCACTATCTTTTTCCGAACTTAACCGAGTAGTTTTGTTCCTAAACCTAACCAAACCAAGACTGTTCCACACCTTAATCACATGTTTATTATAGTAACCATGACAAAGAAGGTCCAGTACACCTGGTGCTGGTTCGCTCCTACGGGCTATATTATTGTTACCAGGGTGATGAAGGTCCAGTGGGGCACAAACCTAGGGACAAACTACCTATATGGTGCTTTAGGTTGGAGGGGTTGTTGGCTCTAGATTAAGGTATTAAACAATGAAGTTGGTCTAATCTTTGTTTAATCCAAACCCAACAGAAGTCCCAAACCTTGTGGAGTACGGGACGACTGTTCACCTGCTCAGTGCTGTTTCCTTTTCCTATTTCCAGATGTGCAAGATATAAACTGAGGAAAACTGCCAATGATAAAAAGTGCTTCACACTGTCAAGCATTATTTCAATGTGGATGACCGTTTGAAGAGCTCAGCCAATGAGGGAGAAACCCTCCAGTTGATAAGGATTCTCATTGGTCTGTGTTGAAAAGGGGGCTTCACCTTGGAGTAACGGATCAGCAACAGTTGTGTTGGGCCAAGAACCAAAAGGAGTCAGATCGGACAGATGTAAAACAGCTGTCAATTACCAAGTCAGTCTCCTGGCTTCCCGGCGACAGAAACATTTTTTGCCAAAATGATGATGCAAGATCTCTGCAGGAGAGGTTGAGGATGTGTGGATAAGGTGCATCAAGCCAGAGAGTCCAGACATGTCCAACTACAACACTTCCCTGATGCCAGTGAACATCTGAAGCCTCACAGTGGAGAAAAGTCAATTCCAGCTGCATCAAAGGGAATGAAGGTGTCAGAGTTTCTAAAGAACAACAGGCGGCTTGAGGGTCTTGCATTTCTCTGAAAGCATGAGGACTGGCCTGCAAATGCAATGGACGTCTCAGTAGACTCTCAGTAGAGTCTACTGACCAGCTCATCGCCTACATTTCTGAATGAAGAAAGCTCAGTTGCCTCAGATTGAAAGGAATTTTTTCACCGGAGGATGATTACCACCCAAACAGGACCAATCAGGACAGGGTCACATTCACACCCAAGAGACGTATCTGGTTGTATCCTGGATGATCTATTAGGAGCAAAGGTTGCCAACATTCGCCATTGCCTTGATGCCTAGTCACTTCTTTGAAACAGGGATTCAAAACAAGAGATTTCTACTCTGTTATCTAGAAAAGCAACAGTGTGCAGACAGAGTCCCATATTTAGGTTGGATCCACTTTTGAAACGGGGACTCTCGAAGACTGAGTGAAGGAGCGGTGACCGAGGAATCCAACTTCATTGAAGAGTGCAAACTGCAACTTGGTGTATGGTAATATTTTGGCTCCTTTTATGATATTTGTGTATGAATTGTTATGTTCGCTTACAATTAGGGGCCGGTGTGTAAGAGTTAGTTGGATGTCGCTGTGCCTGTTGCCGTGACTCAGGTATAAAGGTTGTAATTTCACCGTTTCCTTCAGGTGTTTGACCACCAGAAGGACAAAAGGATTTTTTTTTTAACCGCCTTGGCGTCAAACATTGCACTGGTCATGCCGGAAGTTCATTGTTTGGTTTTTCACTAGGAACTACTTGGAGATAGATTTTACTCACCCTGATGCACAGTGGAAACAATAAAAGGACTATTGTGATGTAAACAGAGGAGCTGCCTTCAGATTCTTTTTGGAATGCAACTCACAGCATGTTTGGGTCAACCGGGTCACTGCACGACATATACTCTCTGTTTCCCAGTAATATAACTATACAGTGGAAACCACATGCTGCCCTTTCTTTTTGTTGATATGTTGGTTTGTAATGTTTGTTGTGTTATCGTTTGCTGTAAAATGATGCAGACCACACGTTCCCTTTAGGGACGAATAAAAACATTACGTCGTTAAATTCTCTTTTGGTCCCATTTTGCTTAAACTCAGTAAATTTCCATCGTAACAAACAATATGGATGAGACTCAAGACTGTATGTTCTCTATAGGGTGCAGGTAGAGGTAATGACACTCTGAGAGGTGAGTCAGACACTGTAAAATCAGTGCTGTGTTGTGTCAGTTGGACACTCACAGTTTTACCGACAAAAACATCGTGTTGAAAAGCTTTAAACCTCAATTAAGGTCTGATTGTTCTGCGAGCGAACATCCAGCCTCACGGCGAGGCCCGGCTGCTCTTACACAACATGAGAAGGCTGAACATAAGGATTGTACTGTGCACTGAACAGCACTGCTCTCCCATGACTGTGTAAGGGTGAGAGCTAATTCACTGAAGAGGCTTTGATAGAAGAAGAAAAAAAAAAAATCCTCGTCAGAGCTACAGAGGCTCCTTAAGCCACCA